TTTTACATTCCACCCTTAAATCACGAAGCAAGCACGCGCGCGTCCATATATACACAAAATATCTCTCGGTATATTACCATTAAGATCCATTACAATGCTAGATATATTCGAAGAGATATGAATACGAAAACTTCGAGTGATATTTATTCACGACTTGAAATTCATCCAATTCCCCCGTGGACCTCGGGGTCCAAACACCCCGAGTTCCCTTTTATGCGCACCAGTCGTCCCCGTGTAAAAATTTCGTTTGACAGTACCCCCGCCCTAGACACAGTCGATTCTACCCGTCCTGGGTACTTACGGAGCACGCATCATCGCAGATACGTTCACGTTTCCGAAAATAAATACTGGGTTCGATTCTTTACAAAATATATATTACAATATTGCACTTAAGGGTAAATGTACACGATAAAACGCGTAAAAAATATACAATGAGTTCCCCTATCGAGAGGCACTAACGACAAGGAACACAGAAGTGTCACGTATATTGAGGTTGTTCGGAAAGTTCGTAACGTTTTTAAGGGTTAAACTGGCGTCTATAGTTGTCAATTTCGTCGTACAGTTATTACATACAATCGAACCTTTCGAATGTAAATCGTGTTCAGCTGGAAATATCACTTTCATTTTTTGATGTTTTAATTAATCGATTAACCATTTCATCACGCGACACGACTCCTAATGAAGTACAGTGCTAGCTATTCTTGGGATAATTTCCTAGAAAGAACACAGCTTACATCGGAAAGCCTCACCAGTACCTAATAACTATAATTTACCTTTTTACTTTTATTTCTCACAACTTCCAGTTTTTAAAAAAAATAATTTCTTCACATCAGTTACATAAAATGTTTATCCTTTCAGTTGAAAGCTCACGTTTTTAGATGCTTCTATGGCCCAAGGTAACAATCATCCGACAAGATAACGTTTGGCAAGTAGAGTAGATACTGTGAAATTTCTTAGTCCAAATAGATTCGTGTTTCCCACAAAAAAGAACATTCGAAATATACACAGAGGAGAGTAATAAAAACAGTGACTTCGAAACTTTACCAACTTCCCGAACGATCCAATTATATACATCATGCACGACTGTTCGTCCATACACATGTGTCCAATTTTGCACTCAGAGATGTTCCGGTTTATTATTTATTACACGCGAAACATTTTAATCTCGACCGTTACTGAACAACAAAACTTTACTGGCATAAGATACGTGTAGGAATAGCAATACAATCGAAATCGAGAATACAAGTCGAATTTAATTTAATTGCACGTACAATGACTTTTTACGTCTCGAAATTGTATTTAATACTGATCGATCGTGTTCAATACGTTCCGTGGCCGCACTACTTTTGTCAGAAAATTTACTTAAATATCTGACAAGAAACTTATTAATGTTTTGCTGTTAAGGGGAACGGATATTTAAAAATTTTAACGAGTCTATGTTAATGCATATTTCGATACTAAAAGTGATCTGAATCGAAAATTCGAATGGTCACGGAACATATTAAGTGGTACACGTTTATAATGAGACTGAACGATCCATAAGAGACCATGTCGATGTAACAGCGGCTACGAATAATCTAAATGTAAAAACGTCACTTTTTTTTTTCTTTCACATTCGATCCAATAAAGACGTATCGAAAATATAATACGTGTAGATGTCGAAGATATGACAGAGATTCCCCATTTATACATTAATTGTAGATACGCCTACATGTATCTCACTTACGTTCCACACGAACTCACGACGAACACGTTTACACGCAAGAACACATACGTACAATTTGTAATTTACGCTAACCTAATCAATAGACTGCGGACATTATGCGTTCACGGCGTGTACGGCTGTAAAAAAAAGACTGAATAAAACGAAAACTTCAGCGAAGTTTCTCACTTTCAGTTTTAATCCGCCGAAAGCTTCGATAGAGGAAACGGAAAGTGTGTACATTTTCAACCCCCTGAAGCAAACTACAAAGTAGTGAATTTTGCATAAACATCCGCAGCCTGGTAATTGTCCCTACAATTTACAATCAGATTATCGAAACAGTACTAAATTAGTAAGGCGAGAAACTCACGAGATTCTACAGAAATTACGACTTCACACACATTTAAAACTATCGAAATAAACGAAAGGACACATCGTACCGTACGACATACACGAAGAAACACCGAACAATCCTTTCACCCTTTATTCGTACAACCATTAACAGGTTGGCACATTATTAAATAAAGTTTTATCGAAATAGGAATTACGCCTGTGTCGTGTCTCCACTAATTGAAAAATTAATGTAGTACCGCTTATGTCAATACGATTCGTCGATAATCATTCGGGTGTAATCGCCAACGCACGGTCTCTACACGTGCGCTCAAGAAAATTAACATGACGTAACTGTGACCGTTTAAACATATTGTTCGTTTGTATCTTATTACTTGCAGGTGTATGCGCACGTATTTACAATCGGATCGATTAATGTAGACACCTATATAACGTTAGTGTATAGGTATTAACTCCGAATAGTGGATGGAATGAGAGTATTGTCAATTAAAAATTAGGATATCACGGATTTCCACGAGGCTCCGAGTCTACGTTCAGTTTTCCACTATTCTTTTTAAAAGAATAAAGTATTATAAATTATAAGAGTGGTGTACATCGTTAATGTACATTCGAGACACATCAATTATAAAATATATATGTAATTTACGTATGTGCACAGTTATGCTTAGACATAAAAGCTTATCATTTTCTTTAGTACATATAACTGTTCATTGTCATCTCCCCCCCCCCCAAAAAAAATAATAAAAATAAAAGTCATTGAAAGAATGTACGTAATATTACAACATTTCTTATTATTATTAGTTTGCTTATATTTCAAGAGAGACTTAGTTGAATGTAATTTTATGTTTTTAGATGATTATTTTATATAGCTTATTAAGATCTGAAGCGTCAAGCCATGCTATAAGCAAAGTTATTGCAATGTGCTTGTATTTCGAATTATCTATACAGTGAAATTTTAAAATTCATTTAGTACTAGTACTGTATGTATATATTGTACTTAATAGTCTATTGGTATATCATGGATGATTTAGAAATTAAATGTAGTAAACGTGAAAATTATTGAATAAAGAGTGTTTGTTATGTAAAGCACTATGTAACAAGCACATACAATATACTTTCAATAGCGAGATTGTAGGAAAATATTTTTTTGAAGTGTGTCTGTAATAAAGTCCAATGATTCGAAAGATTGTGAATTCTTAAATGTGTAATACACTGTGTGCTCATTATAAAGGCCACTGAAAAAAAAAGGTTTTGAAACTTTCCACATGTACAACTGAGTGTTTATAAATCATTGTTATAACAAATAAAATAGAGTACAATATCGTCATGCCATGTAATGAATGAAAAAATTTGCAAAATATTCTATTTACTGTAAATATCGGAAAATATATTATTGATATTTCTTTTCATCTGTATTAATGAATAAAGATTAATTAATTCATTAATTCTATCATTAGATATTTAGATTTCGTAGTTAGTTTAAAGTATTACTCATAGGCAGATAAAGTCTTGATATAATCTTATACCAATTGCATAGAATTTCACGAGATTCTTTAAACCATTATGCAATTTTTATTATGGAAAATTAATTTTGTTCTTTAATTTTCCTTAAATTACTTTACTATTATTATATTAATCTGTTTCAGTTTATCAACTTACGAGGACTTGTTTTACGTTCAGTACCATTAAAGCTTAGGAAGTGCATTTGATAATACAATACATTAAATATTGTATATTACTCATTCGTTTCTTTTACAATAAATTATATTTGCATCAGACACATCTTAAATCAGAGATCAGCTAAAATTTACCATTCTTCATTCAAGATATACACACTGTGGCACATAAATTTTACTATCTGCTTCGTATTCAGTTTAGTGTCTGTCATTTTTCAATACATATAATAAGTACATGTTGACTTTTGCAATTAATATCTTCCTGTTTATTTGTGATAACATATATATGTGATATATTTGTCCTAGAGATGATAAATGTAAATCTGAGCATATACTTTGAGTATTCTTCAAAATATTTCACATTTTTGCAAAACTTTAATATATGTACCAAAGATAGTTTAAACTTACAATACACTATAGTATACTTTTATACACATACCAGTGTTTACCAAATATATGCAGTACATAATATGTAAAAATGTAATTCAATCTTAGGAACAGAAAGAATTTTTTGTAAATAAAATACAATATGTCTTCCTAAAATTGATAAATAGGTGTATGTTTGAGACAGTAACTAATTTTAACATAAAATCTTCTCTTATTGAAACAATAAATAAGTAATAAAATTTTTAGTTATGATAATAACTTTGTCTTGTTCTGAACTCCATAAGAGTACTTTAGAAATGATATATCCTAATATTTTTTAGTTGAAAATAGAGTATATATATTTATATATATGTATATCAAATTTATGTCAGCTTCTGTACTTCAACATTTTACTTTTAACTTTTCTCATTCAGTAGCAGAATATTTTTGCATTCCTCATTTATTACATAATTAACTTATTGAAACATATTTGTTATAGTTTTGTGGGAAGCTCTTGCCTTCATGTATCTTAAATGTATTAAACAGATATCACATCTCTCAGCATTTTAATTTCACATATAATGAGATCTAATAAAAGAACAAACACTCTGTACGTTTAAATAACTAAGAAAAGTAAGCATTGATACTACTCTGTAAAAAATTATCATTGGAAAAGATATTCAATATTCATCTGTATTAATTAGGAGAACATACTATTACTCCAAATTACATTTTAAAATTAAATAAAATTCGCGGAAAATGTACTTCTTTAAAATCTATGTAAATCATATTTAAATGTTCAGCATAGAAAATATCCTTTATCGATCACAATAAGAAAAATAGTATTTGAGATTCATTCCTTTAAATCCAGCTACCTTTCTAACTCTCCATTATAATTCACAAAATTACAATGAAGAAAATTCAACTAACATTTGTTGGAACGTTGTTGTTCCAACAGTAGTAGACATTTGACTAATACTGTTGAATAAAGCTTCTGCTTGCAAATTTTCTGGCAACCTAGTAAGAAATTGTGCTCCATGTACAAAATCCATTTTCAATAATTCTTCCTGATATAAATGTAATACGCCAAGTGCTGTTCTAAAAAGGAACTCATCTCCATCTCTGAGGAACACATCCCAGATTCTACATACAACATCCAGAGGCATTGCTTTGGCATATATAGTGTACAACCAATCTAACAAATATAAGTCTGGACTAAGACCGGCTTCTGTGAAATGAGAAAAAACTTTTGGCAGCTTGTGTGCAAGTGCACTAGAATATACTTTGTAGTAAATGTCCATTTGTTTTTGGTCTAATGTAAAAGCAGCCCTGTGACAAGGATGATTCAATAAATTAGTAAAGCAAATAAAGGCATCTGGAGGTTCCATGTTTAATGATAATATAGCACCCACAAAACTCATACCTTGTACGTAACCTACGTCAGGCCTATAAACAGCATAAGCTGCCAAAATACCTTGAAGACTATCAGATAGTGGTCCACCTTCTTGAAAGACACATAAGGTAGGAAAGGTACGAGATACATCTAATTTGATTGCAGCTAGTGTGTCACTCAGAGGACTTGTCATTGCTCTGTCCAAACATATATTGTAAAGATGGGCTGTTATATTTAAATCATTTGGAATTGCTAACTTCCACACTTTACCACGAACACTAGGTGGAAGACCACGCCACCATAATTCACGTACTTTTTTTGTATTCTTAATACTCTCAAACTTAGTAAGAATTTGTACATTCCAAATTTGAGAATCTTCTGCTAGTCTTGCTTCTTCTTTCAGTTGCAGCTCCCTTTGCTGTTTGCGTTCCTTTTCTTCTCTTAACTCCCTCTTCCTTGCTGCTTCTAGAATAGCGTTATATTGCTTACGATGACGTTCTTCCTCGACTGCATTTTTTGCTGGTAAATTTGCTGGTCTTGGCTGCTGAATTAGAGCTAAACTTCCTCCTACCTTGTCTACATTCCTTGACGGACTACTGGTAGGTGTAGATTGTTGGGAATCTTTGTTCTTCCATGAAAAAACATTCTTAGAAAAAATTGTATTTAATCCCCAACGCTTGGACTTCTCAACTTTCTCTGGAACTTGTTCATCAGAACTCAAGAAACTACCAGTGGGGGAAACTTCACTAAGGGAAGACACAGTACTACTACAAGACCGTGGTAAACTGTTTCTAGGACTACTGTTTGCACTACCACTCTCCAATCTGATATATTTATCCTCATCGATTTTGGAAATCCCATTTGTAGACTCTTCTTTTTGGTTGCAAGATGAATTTAAATATTGAGATTTACAATCCAGTTGCGTATCATTAGATCCATTCACTTCTTCTAAAGAATATAATTGTTTTGTAGTGGGATTATAAGCTAAGGACATACTCTCCAATGCATGATTTAAGCTAGTTCCCGCGACTCCTACAGAAACGACATTACCAGCATCATACCATTTGTTTTCTCTGATATGAACACAAAGTGCCTTGGTTTTTACTGCAGGTGCCGAAGCCACATCACATGCCAAAGCTTCGTTAATGTTGACACTATTGCAGGATATAGAATCTCCATTCAATGACACTAGCTGCTGTTTCCCAATCTTTGGGACAATATTATTAGCTATATAACAATTGGAATCTCTTCCAGATACTTTCAGTACCTGATAGTTATTAGATGTGTTCCCATAACGGGACACAATACATGGAGAAACATTCTGTGACGAGACAGAATGACTATTTCCATTTAAGTGTTGAGACACAGGACTCTTCATGACTGGTGCTCCTTCTCTAACCTTATTAACACACTAAATATTTGTTCAGTAAGGACACACCAATCGAGGGTCGCTTGTTCGTGTATAACAATCGCGGAGTTGTATATGAGCATATTTCTTCATCGCTTTCCGATAACGCTATAAATGCGTATCGTCGATCGTTTTAATTGTATCTACGACACGCTGAGACAACACCCACATAGGAAATTTTCGAAGTTTTAGCATATTCGTCATATCATGGGTATTATTCGATTCAAAAGTGTTCCGAATGACAATTGTCTCCAAGTTTCTGCTCTGACACGAGCGATAAACAGAAGCAAATTCACCAATCGCGTTTTTTTCCCCAATCGAACTGTCTTCTGTGGGAAGAGTCGTTTTCAGTGTTTGTATTCGTGAACCATTTCCGTTGAATGCATTACGTTAAAAAGCATCGAAGAATAAAGTTTTTGTTCCTCGTGAACAAACAGTGGCAAACACTGACATGAAGCAATACAGTTCCATTGATAAATATTTAACATACTGATACTGTACGATTGTGTACGATGCTCTGATACAGACTTGACACTGAATCGAAACTGACAGATGCGTATGTACAGTAACACATCGACGAAAGTTTTGTATTTATTTTTCTATTCACAAGTGTAGTAAAAATATCCAATGATCTTTCAGTTAATATTCTATTAGATTAAAAATATTCTATTCAATGATGTCGCAATGAACAGCGAATAGTAGAAAACTTGTCTTATATGTGGTGGCTATGATCTTTGCCACTGCGACAGTAACGAAATCACGTGACCACTTAACTATTTCTTGTTAAATTGATAACATTAATTTTGTCATATTTATAAATAAATTAATTAAATATTCATCTATGTATAGTTCTATTGTTATAAATACAATAGATCTAAAACTGATGCATATAGAAAATTAGTATAAAGATCCAACAGCATCAGCAATTGCGTATCTTTAAAATTAGTATTTTTACGCTCAATAGAAATAACAGTTTGTCTTGCAGTAGTGGCATATAAATATTAGAAAAGAATAACAATATTAACTTTAAACATCGATGATGAAAATAATTATTTATGACAAATCGTAAGTCACCAGTCGAAATAAGAAATCTTTCTAACGCCGCGAGAATCAATGGCATGTGTATAATAAAAGATACAAAAAAAATTGTGTAAATTATGATTGTATACGCTTACCAATAGTTGTAGACTGTTTCTTGTATACGCCTAATTGATGTTATGCCTAATCCAGGTGTCGATTGTCACGTATTTAATTACTATTTCATGTCTTATAAGGAATGATAAATGCAGTTCAAACTGTTCGAGCTACTAGCAGCTACTAGCCAACTAGTACCACATTCTACTGGAAAGATAGCGCCACTCTATCATTTTCTCGTTGCCGTTGTAAATTTAATGTTTCTCATTTCACTGCACTTTACCTTGATTGGATATTCGTTACCTTTACACAACTGAATATTCTTCAGACTTAAATACAGAAAATATGATAATTTTTCCCTAATTATACAATTCCGATTCTGCTTGTAAGGAATCAAACCTGATGGCTTTAGATGAAATGTGATAAGCACTGGAAAAATATAGAATGCCTAAAATTTTCTAATTGAGAACGGTACTTTAACTTAGAGTAAAAATCCCTAGGTTGTCTCTGTCAAAACAGCTGATTGCGGAAATTGATGAAAACGAAAATTCGTATTAATTGAAAGCTACTGAAAAGTAGGTTAAAAAAGGTCAAATATCAGTCGTGTCATTGTCGAAACTCAACAAACAGTTGTGATTATTTCATTGAAATATAATCGTTAAGTGTAAATTCTTCAACATAACAGATGTTCGTTGTAAGAAATGTCACAAATTGATATTCAGGATTTATTTGATAAAAGCAGGTAAAGAAACCACCTATAAACAATGAATTTGGATAACGTCTCATGAATAATATTATTAAACCGTTATTTTTTTTAATAATACGTACTACCATCAAATTATATGACTTGAGTATAATCAATTGTATGCAATAATAGATTTTATATTATTAGCATATGGATACTACACAAAACATATAAAATATTTTTTTCAATATTAAAACTTGTAACGTAAGAACTGTGTAGTAGAGTCTTGCAAGAACAGTTTATATTAATAAGTTAAGTTTCATGAAGTATGTATCAGATTTATTACCTATAATAACCTACATTCTACAAGTCGAGTTAAGAATAAATTTTTACTATATATGTTATCGGTTTCACAATAGTACAAATATGAAAACAATATTTAACACTTATAAGCAATAGTTTCATAAGTATTAGTTGAAATCTCTTTTTCATATATGCAATATATTTATATGTTGTTATTCAAATGAATATAACATAGTTTTCAACCAGTACTTAAATGAACATTACATTTAAATTAAATATGTTGTTTAGGTTTCCTAGTGGTTGGCGGCTTCTGTCAATATTGTTATATACTCCAGTGGGCATTATATTTGTATTACTACGATTATTAACTGCATTGCAACTTTGGCTTCTTGCATCACTATTATCCGATTGTAATGCTCTTAGAGTATTCTTAAATCATGGGTTCAGTTTTGCCTTTGGCATTGTGGTAAAAATTCCTGAAGGAGAAGTTCAAAATCATCAATCAAGAATCATAATTGCCAATAATGTCTCAGTTTTGGATCACTTTGCATTATACAAAATTACACAAGCATTAACTCCCAGTGTGTGGGAATTATCCACTACTCTTAGCAATGCGCTAGGTTTACAAATGATGGATATGAGTAGTAAAGAAGCTCTAATTACCAACATAAAACAGTTTCTTTCAACTTCAAAGAGCAACATTGTACTGCAACCTGAGTTCAGTACAACTAATAGTCGTGTAGCTTTATTGAAGTTTAATTCATGGCCATTCACTATAGAACCATCTGTTCAGCCAATTGCAATCAAAGCATGGAGACCAGAATTCATACCTATTCGTGTTACTTCATTGGCATCTACATGGTGGACTGATGTCTTTTGGTTTATGTTTGTTCCTTACACAGTCTTCACATTTAAGTACCTGAAAGTCAAGCAAAATACAAACAGTGAAGTACTGGCACGGGAAGTAGAAAAAGATATAACAAGTGTTCTTGGACTTAAGACGAGTTCTCATACTGTATCAGATAAAGCAGAATTTGAAAAGCGTTGTATTATGGAGAAAACACAAAGCAGAAGGCTCAGTAGAAGAAGTTCACCTAACTCACAAATTGTACACAGCATTGAGGTACAAAGAATGGTACAGCAAGTTAGCGAAGTGCTTCCATTAGTCCCTCATAATGTGATTCTCAGAGATCTATGTATGTAAATAAACAGTTATTACTAGTTTACAGATGATAGAATTTATATTATAATAATTTAAATGGAAATGATTATTTTAGTGAAAACACGTAATGTTGACATTACCATTGCCAATATTCTGGATGGCATAGTTACTTATACCCCAGGATCAAGTCAGACAAGTGTTGCACCTTCAGCACCATTTAATCAAGTGCAAACAAGCACGGTAAAGGATAACAGTAGCTCAGGAACTTCTTTCCAGGAAAGAAAAGCTAAAATGATAAGGGAAGCCAGGGAAAGGTATATTCAAAAACATGGACTTAAAAATTGCTGACACTCTTACTGCAGTTTTATTGTGATTATTGTATCTTCATTGAACACAAGTATGTAATGTTTTGCTGTATGTATATTTACTATTACATAATATGAATATAATTTTATTTCTAAAATACAACTGTATATTTTTACAAATTACCTAACCTTTTTATGCATGTATTGTGTAGTATTATTATAAACAACAAACTTTGGAAGACTGTACTTTAGATATTCAATACTCTTCACATATTTCTTATTACTATTGTTTACTGTTATACAAATAAAGTAAACTTTAGTTATATGTCATTCATGTATAAAAATAAATGTATTTAACTACATTAGCTTAAGAACTTTTTTTTCTACTTTTGTTAATTTTATTGTAATACTTGAAAGTATAACAGACTACATGATATAAATAACTAATAATAATCCATTTATATTAATTTATATAAACTACACTTTATTATTTATAGCATTCTTATCATTTCTATTACTGTATCATTGAAAAAATTGGAAGACATTTAGTTTCATAAATAGTGTACCATTTTTGTTGAATACAAAAAATTCTAAAATATACTTGGCAATAAAATTTTACAAAAAATATTTGAGATATTTCTTCTTTTTCTATTATTTTACTACAAAAATATATTACTCTTATTTCAACAAAAATTGATTGTTAAAAAAAATAGAATAAACTAAAAGAAGAATATCTTAAACAATGTTATTAAAATCTTCAAGATTTTTAATATTATAGTATACGCTAATTTGAGTATTTTTTCGAAGGAATCATTACTGCTTAATATTTCCAATGCATACATATTTAATATCAACATACTCATCAACACCATGTTTAGATCCTTCTCTACCTATGCCTGATTCTTTCACCCCTCCAAAAGCAGCCTCTGCACATGAAATCAATCCCTCATTCACACCAACCATCCCAACTTCTAATGCTTTGGCTACTCTAAATATCTGTGATACATCAAGAGAATAAAAGTATCCAGCTAAACCAACTGGTGTATCATTAGCTTTCTGTATAACTTCAGCTTCAGTATCAAATTTATTAATAACTGCTACTGGACCAAAAATCTCTTTATTGTATATTACCATATCTTCAGTCACATTTGTTATAAGAGTGGGAGCATAAAACAGTGGTCCTAACTCGGGTAATGGTTTACCACCACAATGTACTTTTGCTCCTTTTTTCACTGCATCAGTAACAAGTCCATGCACACTATGTAACTGACTTTCCTTGGTAAGAGGTCCATGTGTAATGTCCTTCTTACTACCATCGCCCATTTTAATTTCAGTGTTAATCTTTGCCAAAAAATTTTCAACAAATCGATCGAATATACCAGCTTGTACAAAAAATCTATTTGCAGAAACACATGTCTGGCCAGTATTACGAAATTTACTTGCCATAGCACCTTTTATAACTATATCCAACTGTGCTGAATCAAAAACAATAAATGGTGCATTACCTCCTAATTCAAGACTAAGTCGTTTCATGGTTGAAGCACATTGTCTGTACAAAATTTTTCCTACAGCTGTGGAACCAGTAAACGATAAAACTCTTACTTTAGGATGTTCACATAATTCTTTACCCACAGAAGGAGAATTTTTCTGACTCGTTGTAACCACATTAAAGATCCCATTTGGGAATCCTGCTTTTTCTGCAAGTTCAGCCATTGCTAAAGCAGTTAAAGGTGTATCTTCAGATGGCTTTACTACACATGTGCACCCAACAGATAGAGCTGCTCCTGCTTTACGAGTAATCATAGCATGAGGAAAATTCCATGGTGTAATCAAAGCAGCTACTCCGACTGGTTGTCTCAGTAAAAATAAGTGTCTGCTAGGATCACCACCTTGTAACACTTCTCCATCAACTTTTTTAGCTTCTTCTGAAAACCACTCAATAAAGGAATTTCCATAGTTAATTTCTGCTCTAGACTCAGCGAGAGACTTTCCATTTTCTTTAGTCAAAATTTGTGCCAAATCTTCTGAATGCTTCACCATCAGATTGTACCAATTTCTGAGCAAATTACTTCGATCTCTTGCACTTGTTGCACGATATGATTCAAAAGCTTTAGATGCTGCATCAATTGCTGCTCTTGTGTCCACAACATCCATATCAGGCACATTGTTAATAATGGATTTATCAACTGGATTATGAACAGGAAACATTTGTTTACTGCTTGCTCCTACCCATTTTCCATTTATATATGCCAGATCTTTTAGAAGATGCATTGATCGAGTTAATGTCAAGGCATGGTATGAAGCGCACTTTTGTAGTGTACACATATTGTGGAACATTGTGTCACTAGACAAGTAATAATCTGTAACATAAAATACCACCACAAATCTTAAAAATATATAAAAAATTGAAATTCGTATATGTATTTATAAAAACTTCGATAACAATATAACAACATTGAATAAAAATAGAAAAACTAGATGCAAAGTTCTTACATGTCTGTTTTAATTTACTTTACGTTAAAAACAAAACTATTAAACGAAAGATTTCTGCAATTGAAACTTATATAGGAGAATATCAATTACACATTGTGGAGTTATACTTACCTCAGGAGTAGAAAATACTGAGGAGGTAACACTTGTACTTTCAATTGAATACTACGTTCGTTTATAAACGGTTATTTCAATCACATTGACGTTATCAATTCATGTTATCAATTTCATCGACAAATTGACCTTATGTAACTTATTCCCGCTTTACTCCGATTAAAGGGACTTATACGTGTTCTGTAGTGTATTCTTTGTGTGACAGTAGTGTGCGTTACCGGCGCGCCGGCGACTTTCAGTCAATAAAACTGTTATCGGACTTATTTGTGTATTACAATATTATTATCATAGAAGGAAGAAGTGTAAAGAGATTTTTCTCGCGAACATGAGTACGAATACAAAAAGAACTATTTATGTGGGTAAGTCATAACTTGTAAATATTTATTTATTTTACTATAACCTACGCTTAACTTACGCAATGTTTATTTCGGTACATTTAATACACCAACATTTATTGTTAATGTTTAGGAGGCCTAGCCGAAGAAGTCGATGAGAAAATATTACATGCAGCATTTATACCTTTCGGTGAAGTCGTTGATGTACAGATACCACTGGATTATGAATCAGAGAAACACAGAGGATTTGCTTTCATTGAATTTGAAAGTGCTGAGGATGCAGCAGCTGCAATTGATAATATGGTACATATATAAAACAACATACATGCTCTAAGTTATTTAAAAATGTAGTTTCATAACAAAAAATTATTCAACCAGTTCCTTAATTGAAATGGTTTAATCTCATTTTAAAATATAGCGTTGTCATTAGACTATGTATTTTGTTCACTGAAATTTACATTTAATTCTAGTTTGTATAAAATAGTTTATAAAAATCTATAATTCCATGTACTCCTATAGTATAATTATCATAAAAACCATTAAAAATGAATTTTTATTATTAACACATACTTGATTCAATAAAAAAAAACATTAACATTCATTTGTTGCTGTGAGATATATGTGAAAATGGATCGAGAAATAATACCACTTATCTGATCATCATAATATTGATCATTTTTATCTTTAAATTTGTCAAACCTTATCTTTAATAAACAGAATGATTCTGAGCTGTTTGGGAGAACAATAAGAGTAAACATTGCAAAACCGCAAAAGATAAAAGAAGGTTCCTCAAAACCTGTTTGGGCTGATGACACCTGGTTGCAAGAACATGCAGGTGAAACTCTCAAAAGCGATGACAATGCTAAGTCAGGTGAAGTGGTACAGTCTAAAAAGGGAAAGCAAAATCCTCAAGTCTATTTCGATATCAGTATTGGAAAACAAGAACTAGGCAGGGTTATTATGATGCTACGGGCTGATGTGGTGCCGAAGACTGCTGAAAATTTTCGTGCTCTATGCACTCATGAAAAGGGATATGGCTATCAAGGAAGCACTTTACACAGAATTATTCCAGATTTTGTATGCTTTATTTATCTCTTACATGTAACCAAGAATCTTTGTATATTTTTTCATTAAAAAAATAAGTTTATATAAATATTCCTTACATTAACATAGATGTGTCAAGGAGGAGACTTCACAAACCACAATGGAACAGGGGGCAAGTCAATCTATGGAAATAAATTTGATGATGAGAATTTTGAATTAAAACACACAGGGCCTGGTACTTTGTCGATGGCAAACTCTGGTCCAAACACAAATGGATCCCAATTCTTTATGTGTACAGCTCGCACAGATTGGTTAGATGGAAAGCATGTTGTATTTGGACATGTACTTAGTGGTTTAGATGTTTTGAAAAAAATCGAAAAATGTGGAACAAAATCGGGCACCCCTACACAAAAAGTAGTTATAACAGCTTGTGGAGAATTAACTTAAATGATAAGCAACTGGAAACTTTACTAATTTATTCGGGTAATGTTGTAAATTTTGCATTAAAAATACAAAATTGTTAATAAATATTAACTTTTCAAGAAAGTGCAGTGTGAAATAATGTGACCTAAAGACAAAGTTAATAATAGATTGTACTATTTTTCGTATATATTTAACATATTTGTTAATGTAATTATAAATCAATAACTGAAGTATTATGACTATGTAAATATGTAGAAAATTTACAATCCACTTAGCAACCATAACAGAATAATTATACAAACTACTGATAATGTTCAAATATTTTATAGCCTTCAACAATGAATTTCAAAGTATAATGCTGACTTGATTTCAGATATACAAACTTGATGACTATATTATTGCACACATTTTCTTGAATTACCGTATTTTTGAACTTTTAAAAGTACTTGAAACTTTTACAATGATATTTAATTTAATCTAATAATTTCTAGGTAACTATCAAAATAATTTTTTGTTTGAAATTTGTTTTGTAATCAATAGCAATAGATATTACTATATAAGAGATGTAAAACAAATTATAATAAAAAATAATTATGTTAATTTTATCTTCCACTTTGTAGAAATATAATTGATGTGAAAGTGATAAAAATGTGTAATGTCATGATTACAATCATGTTTTCAAAAGTATTTAAACAGTAATCACGTGATTATATACTCACATTTCTTCGAGGGTAGGAGGAAACAAGAACTACTTATTAAATAATTCGATTATATTAACGTTTTTATTATAATTCGTCATAATGTTGCGTGCTCCAATAAATCAAACCGTACGAAAGCTTAGCGTTAATTCGATCCCGTTAAAATGCAACCGATTACAAGGAAAAACGGCGCTTGTGACAGCTTCAACAGATGGGTGAGATAAAACATCGATTATAATTTATTATTAATATTTCTTTATGTAAAACTTAACCTCTTCGATACAAATAAATAGTATTTGTAATTAATAAAGAAAATACATTTTTATTACAGAATTGGTTTTGCAATTGCAAAACGTTTGGCCCAGGAAGGTGCCAAGGTCATGATCAGCAGTCGTAAAGAGACAAACGTAAAGAAAGCTGTGGAACAGCTTAAATCTGAGGGGCTAGAAGTATCTGGTGTTGTATGTCATGTCGCTAAAAAGGAACAGAGATATAACCTTTTTGAAAAAGTAAACATGAATTTTAAACAATTATATCTTATAGTATAATATTGATTTCTTTTAAAACTTATGTACAATACATGTTTTGCTAACACTATCACTAATAAGTATATTGTAGACAAAACAAGAATTTGGTGGTTTAGACATTCTTGTATCAAATGCAGCTGTAAATCCAACATTTGGTACACTTTTCGACACTCCTGAAGAAGCATGGGACAAAATTTTTGATGTCAATGTGAAAAGTACCTTTCTTCTAATGCAAGAGTCTTTACCATTATTGAAAAAAAGTAAATTCCCATCAATGATTATTATATCTTCAATAGCAGCATATGATCAAATTACAGTAAGTAATTAAATTTTGTTCACCTTTATGGTTTATAGACAAATGATGTTTACATTAAGGTCTATATGAATCTTTTTATTTTGAGACATTAGGTGCTTATGCTGTGAGTAAAACAGCATTGTTAGGTTTGAACAACATTGCTGCTGCAACTCTTGCATCAGAAGGAATTCGAGTGAATTGCATAGCACCTGGTATTATAAGAACTAAATTTTCTGAAATAGTATGCACTTACATATACTTTTATATATCTTTATGTAATAAAAAGTGCACATGTAAAATATATGTGTATTCCATAGCTTGTTGAAGGTGCAACAGGAGAAGCAGTAAAGTCAACAATACCAATGCAGAGATTTGGTGAACCTGATGACATAGCAGGGGTAGCAGCATTTTTAGCAAGCAATGATGCTGCTTATATTACTGGTGAAACTATTGTTGCTACAGGTGGAATAAGATCCAGACTTTAAAGACGTTTACAGATACTACATTGTTACATATTCCATTTAATTTGTACTAAAAGTACTCTGTCTTTTTCTACATTTGTAATTTTAAATAAAACATATTTCCTATATTTCTTGTCCTTGAAAGAAGTATTTGAACTTTCCTTGGTGTTTGAATCAATTGATTATTCGACTGCAATTATTTATGTATAATCATTAATGTAATATTTACATTTTAAACAATACGCAACACCAAAATTTATATTGTATTTAACCATCAGACATACAAATTTGCACTGTATAAATGTTCATACAACAATTTGACAGCAAAACGTGTTCTTTAATTTTAAATTAAATACTACGTATATATTTAGTTACTATATAAATACACACACATGTTCATTATTACTTGAGTACCTAAAAAAGACACACCTTTATTCTTAATAAATATACTGATTCACAATGTTCACATACGATACCAACGATACCAATGCTATGTAGTTAATGCAAATGGCAGATGAAAATATGGTCCAACACGCAGTGCAACCAGAAAAAAGTCATCAAAACGATGATGAGAATGAGTGGGGAAACGAAATTGTGGAGGAAAATTATAACGATACCGGTAAATATGTTTTCTTAGAAAAGAACTACGTGACAACGTAAATATTTTCCATTTTATTCGGTATTTCGAATAACCTGCATACATATATTTGTAATCCGCTTTCTTTCGAATGAACTATTTAAATGTTTTTACTTATCACACAAGATATTTGCATATATGATAATTTATATACTTTTAGAATTTGAGGCGTTAAACGCTCAATTGGATCAGCTGAATTCTGTTTTGGATAACCTTGAACAAAAAAATGACGTTATACATGCAGAATTAATCGAGTTACTGCAATCAAATAAGGAAGCAAGAAGACAATTTCAGGAATGTCAGGATGCAATGAAGCCAAATATGTAATGTTTTATTTTAAAGGTACATAACCTACTATTATTAATTGGTTGTTATTTACAAACAGTATAAATTTTGTAACCAACTGTTATTTGCGTTGTTTTAGATCATATAATATATATAAATATATTTCATAATGGAGTAGTAGTGTGTCCTACATTTGTGCTACTTCATAGTACAATGTAAATAGTACAGTATTTTAATGTTTAAACGTTAAACATTCCTATGAAGGTAATTCAATGGTATATAAAATTAATCTTATTATCACATAGCATTACAGGGCAAATATAAATAAAAATATGTAAATGTTTATGTTAGTTGTGTACATATGTATGTATGTAAAATTGTCTACATTATTGATTTTATCATTTTTTCTAATAATCATACACAAACAGAATGTATTAACAGATCTTTAAATATTTCTGAATCAAACTGTTTAATTAAAAACACATTAGGTGCATTTGACAATAAATGATCAAGCACTACTTGACCTCTTGTTCTATTGCCATATAATTCAATATCAACATGATATTGAGCTATGTCTTGAGCAATTTCTGGTTTCAATAAAATTGCAGCTAAAACTGCATCACACATAATGTATGTAGGAAAATGTTTCTTCCTGATTCTCCTGCATCCATCTTCAATATCATTCATGAGTCGCATACAAGCTGTATCAATTTGACCTAGTACATCTCTTCTCCAGTCCTGAAATGAATTGAATTTATTTTATAAATATGTATGGTACTTTAAAAGAATTCCTTATTGTTATACATACATGTGTAATGTGAGAGTTTAAACATGTTTCCCATGGTAACAACCACAAAGGTTTTTTGTTATTATTGAAAACTATGTGAACACTTTCTGGGTCCATGTAAAAATTGAATTCTGCTTGAGGTGTTATATTACCCTGTGCTAATAATAAAAAATTTCTAATAATTACGTTTTAACTAATCTATGTAAATCGAAAGATGTACCTGTTACATTTCCTCCCATAATGTAAAAGTCTTTTACATTATTAACAAATTGAGGATACATTTTTATAGCTAATGCTACATTTGTTAGAGGACCCAAACATACAATACTAATGTTATTTGCATTCTCTGTTACAATTCTATTCATAGCATATGCTGCATGTTCTGCCTGTAATTTACTTGTATCTACACTGGTAATATATACATCTCCAAAACCATCACTGCCATGGTATTTGTCTTCAGTAGCTTTCTCAGTATGCTGTGTATAAAGTATAGGTTCATATGCCCCTTGAAACACTGGTATCTATAAATTGATATACAAAGAAAATGTAGTAGATTTTTAATCAAATTAGACATTTTATTTATAGAAATTACACTTACATCTGTTGTCTCACAAACATGCAATGTCCTGAACACATTTTTAACTACATTGTCCACTGTAGTATTTCCATGAACACAAGTGATTGCTTTGATTTGAATTTGTTTTTGCTTGTGAGCAGCAATCAATATTATCAATGCTAATGCATCATCTACACCAGCATCACAATCAATAATAAAGTTTTTTTCTGTCATTTTATTTAACTAGAGAACTTCACATTAAGTAATTCAGAAATTAGTAGTTGTTAATTGATTTTCAAGGCAGAAAAATCTCAACTGAATAACCATGAAAGATTCACAGAGCATTTATCCACCTACTTTGAGATAAGTTGTTTAGGAAGATAAGTGATATCTTTATTACTCTATCAAGATAAAAATACTTATATAAGTAGTGAGTATTATTATTATTATCGTTCATGTGTTTAATAGCATAGTAAGGGAAATATCTTCAATGCACTATTGCTCATTTTTTCGAAGATAATAAAGATTAATTACATTGAGTGTGTTTATTGTATAAAGATGTCTAGTAACTACTAATACAATAGGAATGGTAGTGACTCTAATTGAAACAAATGAGTAAAAAATAACATTTTCTTGTAACTGGCCATTAAATTTTAAGAAAATTGAGTCCGAATTTCGGTCAGTATGTGCATGGTATTTATGCACCGGGGCCTCCGTGCAGGGTCTATGGCGCCTCCACCGGGGGCTCCGTGACCCCACGCTCTCACCCCACGTGATCAATGGCGCCTCCACCGGGGCCGCCGTGCAGGGTCTATAGCGCCACCACCGGGGGCTCCGTGACCCCACGCTCTCACCCCACGTGATCAATGGCGTCTCCACCGGGGTCTCCGTGACCCCACGCTCTCACCGTGCAGGGTCTATGGCGCCTTCAGCGGGGGCTCCGTGACCTCACGTTCTCAGTCACGTTGTCATTGACAACTGACAATAATAGCACGGGAATCTTGCACGAATTGTAGTCGGTGGTTCTACTCTCAGTTTGTTCTCCATGGAGATGAATTAATTACTAAAAAATTGACGAGACAAGTGTATTTTCATCTTTTAAATTGCAGATAAAGTATCAAAATGGATGAAGCGAAATTTTTGAAACGGTAGGCGTTTTATCACTTAATTATGATAATAATTGTTATACGATTGTCATATCTATTTGACACAAATGTGGAACGATCTCGTATATATTTGTTACATAGTATGTATTGTTAAACTATAACAAGTGTGTTTTTATTACTTAGAAAGGTGAGATCTGGTACTTTGGATGTGCATCCAACAGAAAAAGCTTTGGTAGTTAATTATGATGTGGAGGCATTAATTTTGGGTGAATTGGGAGATCCTATGTTGGGTGATCGTAAAGTAAGATTATCAAACAGTTTACCATTGTGTAACAGATTTGTTGATTATATCAGTATGTTATCCGTAAAAAGCTTTCATAATTATTATAAGCCAATTTCACTTACAGGAATGTCAAAAGATAATTCGGTTGAAGAGTTTGAATGCAAATACCAATGTATCACTTCTAGCCAAAGAAGTGATAGAAAAATGTTCTCTAATTCATGAATCAAAGCAAAGAGAAGTTGAACAGTTGATTTATTATCTTCAGAATCGAAAAACAAATGATACTTCTACAAGTAAGTGTACTTGTACATCTAAAACAGCTCTTATTGTTTCAGTTTTATTTATCTTATACTTATCTTATATTCTTTAATACAGGTGTTGATAACAATTCTCAACCCTCAAGACCAGCATCTTCAAATTCAGTATCTACAGATAACGGGGAAATAGAACGTGCTATCATCAGTAATGTTGATAGTTACATTGAATTATTATACGAAGAGATACCAGGAAAAATCAAAGGGTCGTCATTGATTTTACAATTGGCAAGAATACCTGATAATCTCCATGAATTAACCAAAAATGGTATTAGACATTTTCTATCGATCAATTATAGTGATTGAGTATAGGATATGTAATTGATGCTTATTTTCTTAGAATCTCTCTTAAGTGCTTTAGCCAGAGTTCTGAGGGAGGATTGGAGGCGTAGTATAGAACTATCTACAAATATTGTCTATATTTTCTTCTGTTTTTCAACATACAGTCAGTTTCATAATATTGTCCTTGAATACAGAGTAAGTAGGTAAAGAATACTTTTAAATTATTATCATGCTTAATGATTGATTTCTATATCTAGATTGGATCATTGTGTATGGATATAATAGATTTTGAATTACATCGATATGATCAATGGAAAGAAGATATGGAGAAACGTAGACGCCACTTTGAAAATACCACTGGTTTGACATTTTTTTCTAGTACGAACGATAATTGCGACAAGAAGACTAAAATTATTGATGATATCTGGAATACTGATGGTCCACTAGATTACGAAATTAAAAAACGATCTAATGAAATTTCTGTAACTGAGAGTGATATCAAGAAATTAAAAGAAGAGCTCGAAAAGAGTCGTAAAAAATTCAAAAGTTTAATAAAGAAACAAGAGCAATTATTGCGAGGTTGGTAATTTTACATGTTTATATTATCAATATTGTAAAAATATTATAATATAATTTGTGTTACAGTGGCATTTTATTTATTATTAAATATTGCCGAAAATATGGAAGTTGAAAGAAAAATGCGCAAGAAGAATGTAATAGGTATGCTGATCAAGACATTGGATAGGACAAACATTGACTTACTAATACTAGTAATTGCATTTTTGAAAAAGTTATCTATATTTCGAGAGAATAAAGATCTTATGGTAAAATTCTGCAATAAATGTTTTAAATACTATTTAATAACAATAAATGCATAGTGTATTATTGTTTCAGGCTGAGGGGAATATTATTGAAAAAGTACCAAGACTTCTACAGCACAACAATACAGATTTGGTACAGAGTACTCTAAAATTATTGTTTAATCTCTCATTTGATGCAAAACTTAAGGCAAGAATGATAAGGGTTGGCTTATTGCCAAAGTTAATTAAACTACTTGGTCAAAGTGATATTAAAAATAAAACAATAATTTTGGGATTATTATATCATGCCAGTATGGATGATAAAGTGAAAGCTATGTTCACAAATACAGAATGCATTCAAATGGTGAGCATTATAAAGAGCTCATATATATATATATAGTTATTTAAAAATAATTTCACATGTTGTAAACATAAATTTTTTTAAGGTAACAAATATGATTTTAAATTCTGAAGATGAACAACCAAAATTAGAATTAGTAGCTCTTGGTATAAATTTAGCTATTAACAGCAAAAATGCCCAACTTATGGTAGAAAATAATCGTCTGCAAGGTCTCATAAAAAAAGCATTCAGAAATCAAGATCCTCTTATAATGAAAATGATACGAAATATTTCTCAGCATGATTCCACTAAGGAAAGCTTTGTTGTAAGTTATTTTACATTATAAGGTATATTATTTTTTTAATACGAGTATTCATAAATAATTTTTAGTAATTAATAATAACTATTAGGAATTTGTGGGTGATTTTGCCATTGCCTTGACACAATCAGATTCACAAGACTTTGTCCTGGAAGTTATAGGTGTATTAGGCAATTTAGAGTTACCTGACTTGGATTACTCACAAATACTTCATAGATGTGATTTGATACCATGGATTCGCAATAATCTTGTTCCAGGTACAATATCTACCCAAATAAAAATCTTGTCTTCAGAGTTTATTTCTTTTTTAATGTGATTACTGTTTTTCTTAAATAGGAAAAGCGCCGGACGATTTAGTCCTAGAGATTGTTATATTTTTGGGTACAGCAGCGTATGATGAAGATTGTGCGCGTTTATTATGTAAAGCTGACATATTGCTTTCTCTCATTGAACTTCTTAAAGGTTTGTATAACATTAAGAACACGAAGTAGTCATTAATTATTAACAAGAATTATTTTCACAGCTAAACAAGAAGACGATGAAATGGTTTTACAAATAATATATGTATTTTATCAAATATCCAAACATGATTCGACAAGGGACTATTTAATACGCGAGACTGGTAACGGTAATTATCACATTTTTTGGATTATATTTCTAGAATGCTGAAGCGTAAAATCGGTAATGCACTTTAAAGATAAGAAACATTTTAGTATTTTGTATACTGAAGCATTAATATTTTTTATAGAAGCACCTGGGTATTTAATAGATCTGATGCACGATAAAAATCCAGCAATTAGGAAAGTATGTGATGCGTGTTTGGATGTTATTGCTGTAAGTATATCGTATAAATAATTTTTCTTCTATAATTATCTTTCAATATAATAAATCAATTTTAACGTAATTGCGAAATTTTAGATGTGTGATAAAAATTGGGCAGCTCGTATAAAAGTGGAAAAGTTCAGGTCACACAATCAGCAATGGTTAGAAATGGTCGAATCTATAACAAATGATACTGCTAATCATTTGTTACCCGAAGAAGATGAGAGCCTGTCACCATTTATGAATGGCGATCTTTTAAAACATACAATGTTATTTCCTTCTGGTAAGTACTCTGCATACCTGACGAGAAGTCCCGCGGAAGGAACCCGGGTCTGATTGGTCAGAGTATAAGGAGCACACCTCGTTTCACACGCCCTTTCGGCTCTATTGCAAACTATTGCCAGAAACAGTACACACATCAGTCAATCAGTTCATTCAGTATTCGCGTATCAGTGAACAAGGGAAGTAAGTACTCACTTTGCCCCTGTGCCGTCCCGCAAGACTTCTCGTGAGGCACGAATAATTTGTAATTTACATATATTTATTAGTTATTTCATTTTATTGAATTATCACAATGATAAATTTGTAATAGGTAATGTAGCATCGTTTAATGCAGATGACAGATTTTCAATTATGAAAAATTCGTCAGAATCATCTGAAAATCAAAGTCGTCCAGTTAGCAGGTAAGTGTTTTTTTTATATTTTTTTTACAATTTATATGTTTATTATAATTTACTACTGTGTGTTACGATAAAAATTGACACTTTTATATTCATATATTAGGTACAAAGATTTTGATGAATTAGGTGAACTTATGGCGCGTTCTAAATCTCGTATGTCTGTTGGTTCCGGGATCGAAGATCTTTATTATAATTCTAAAGTTAAATTTACCGAATCAGACAGTTCGCATGTGTTGATATGAAAAGTAAATCACATTATAGTGGATTGAAGACTAATGATAATAAGAACTTCAATTCGTATTTAAATCATACGATCCTTCTATATAAACGTGCATAATGGTACATGTAATCGTTGCTTCATTTGTCTGATTTTTAAATGCAATTCTAAAAATTGATCGAAATATGTTAAACCTTTTTGTAGTTTAAACACGAATATACATAGTAACAACATTTATAAGAATCCATTTGTATTTAGTTATTTGTCAAGAAATCTCGAACAACATTGATCTCATAGCAGTGATATCAAACGGACAAACGGTAGTAACCTTTATATGAATCACTTCGTATTTATTTATTTATTTGCAAAGGGACTTTTGAAAGCTTTAGAACTGTATACATGATAAGTTACTTTGATCTCATAATGCAGTATATAATATTTTGTATGTTAATTTAATTTATGTACGAACGCTCAACTTAGTTTGATTTCTAGTCTTGTAATTTTACAAAGTAATTGATGCTATTAATAATGTGATGATTTTGACCACTTTGTAAGTTTAATACGTGCAATATTGTAACACCGTGTATAATTACTTTTAACATAATTTCAGTACAGCACGATAAAATGCTTTTGCCGCATAGCATTTAATAAGCATTTATAGTCAGAGAAAAATACTTTAAAAACCCCATAGTCAAACTTAGCTCATAAAATCTGTTTTATACTAAAATACTTTATAGAATCTTAAGAAGTGCTTTCCTTTAGTTTAATTATTGAATTACACATTCCGACAGTTGTCTTTTATTTATTTAATTGCAGATCTTAATGTAAAATAATGTTATATTAAAAAATACATATATGTTATTCACGAACGTTTATTATCTTCTATATCATAATAAACGATGTATAAATTGCAAAATGTATGTCAGTTTTTCTCGTACAAAATTTTTATTTACACTGTTGAACAATCTTCAACAAAATCTGTCGTTACTGAAAATTTCTTGGCTTATTGTTTGAACTTAAACTTTTTCGTATAATAGAATTAGCATTTGGTCTAAATACAATGGTGTAACTGTTGTCACCATCTGTATAAAATGTATGTTCTTTTAAATCCCAGCTAAGAGGACTGTCCAAGAATCCTTGTACATGTAAAGCACCCCACGGTAAAGTGTTTTGCGTTGATACATATTTTTTCATGGCATTATACAAATGTATCATTTGTTGCCTTGTAAAGAAACCAGTCCATTGTAAATATTGTACTTGGCCAACGTCAATGGATGGTAACGGACATGTGTATGTATTTATATAGTCATCCGTTTTCGTGTTTTTTCTGAAAAAATTAATTTATCGTAAATTTTTTATTTCTTTTAAATATTTTTCTAAAAAAATGTATACGTACAATTCACCAGAGATACTGAGAACTCCCAGCCACTCAAAAAATTTGTTATTGTCAGTTTCTTCTGAGAGTACTGGTATCCTTAGAGAATACTCTGTTCTTTGTATAAAACTTTGGTGACAAAGAGAAACATTGTAACCATGCTTATGAAACCATTCTGCTACTGATGAAGGACATAGCTTTTCATCTTAAAAAATTAAATAAATCCTTAAAAGAACATAAATTAAAGGTGAATCTATATTGATTAAAAAATATTTTACCTGGGGGATTCCAAGAAACTATCACGTCAAATTTCTGCTTAAAATGCTTCTTCAACGACGTTCGGGTGTGCTCGTAATTCTTCTTGCCAGGTGTAAAGCTTTCAGATTTTAAATCAACAGTCACAACTTTTGATTTGCATTACCGGTAAAAAAAAAATAAACGAAAAGTAAAAATAATAAAATATACATTTTATTTATGAATATGCAGTAATATCTATATTAATAAATAGTACTGTTAAACATCATTTTTGTAAAACGTCAAAACTTTCTAATATGAACTATAGAAGAAACATACAAATATTACATTAATTGCGCCATTAATATGCATAGAGGTTTGAATAGAAGTATTATATTTCAATTTTTTTATATAATTTTATTGTATTGAATGATATAAAAATATATCTCCTTAATTTGTTCACAAGTTTAATCACCTTCAAAATTTCAATTATGCAAAAGACAGACTTGGACTTGTGTCCAAATTTGTATTAGTACTTTTTAACTCTTCTCTGAAAATATTTAATTCTGCAAGTGATATTCCTTGCCAATTTTCTAATTCAGACAGGCGTCGTAAATTATCGCAATTTTCCATCAATAGCTGTACAGTTTTCATTGATAAATCATGACTGTACAGAATTTTAAGCTCTTCCAACTTCCTCATTTGATTTCGCAAAAGTATTCTTCTCATTGTTTCATCTCCAATACCAGTCGACGAGCCTAATTGTATAAATTTAATATTCTCACAATGAGAAAGCAAGAATTCCAGATGCATATTTGCAGGTTCTGATACACACTTAATTCTTTCTAAAAACTGAAATGGTGAAACTGCAAGCTTTCTGGGATAAGTTGGTGCACGTTCTAAGAATTCACAATTGTAGAACATTAGGCTTTTTATATTTGGACAGTATTGACTTATCGATATAAGTGCATTCAAATCAATTTCTTCGACATGCTCCAAGTGTAGACTTATAATCGTACTGCCTTTTATTTCCAGCAATGTCTTTATTCCATGAGCATAAAAATCACAAGATAAGAGCTTCAATTCTTTTAAATAATCAAGACTGGCCAGAATTGTTAAATCGACAATTCTTTCATTACGTAATATACAGAGGCTTGTAATATATGGACACATACCGACTAAAAGATATAAATGTTCCATAGTAAAATTTCGACTTTCAAATATTTTTATGTGAAAAGTACTTTTAACATCAGTTTGTTTTTGATTAATAAGCTCTAAGACAAATCCAAATTCATCGCATCTGCCAATATCTTCTATATTCGAATGTTCTAAAAAGAGATTTGCGTAACCGGGTATACTCATAGAAGTTCTACATAACTTAACTTGTGTTAAATATTTACATGTAAGCAAAGGAGCAACACTACGCTCTGTCACAGACCTAGATGCAGTTACGTCTAGCTTTTGCAGCTTTTTACAATGCTGAGATAGAGCCACTATAACATTATCTGTACAGTCAAAACACAAAATGAAACATACTAAGTTCGGCATAACAGAAACTCCATTGATAATCATTTTTTCAATGTCTGATGTTCTCCAGCCAGCTGAACCTGAGCCTAAGTCTAAAACTTCGAGGCCAATCATATCGTGCAGTTTATTGTAAAGCACATGTCTCATAATTTTAGGCCAAGCAGAGAATTCAATTACCTTTAAATGTGCACCTACAGCTACTTCTGTTAAATGAAGAGCAACTGTCATTTCTGACAGAAAGGCTGTAGTCAAAACAAAGTCATTGTATGTACCTCTAGTCTCTTTCACTAAATTGACAACTGCAGTTAATACTGCCACAGACATTCTATTGTACAAGTGTCTAGGAACACTAGAACTCAGTAAATTTTTCATATATTCTAACATTGAACACAACGTAGCATTCCCATGTTCTGGATTCGTTTTGGAAATTGTGCTAACAAGCTTTGTCATGTATCTACCAAAAGTAATTACAAATTCTCCAATGGAATACAATGCTAGATCCACTAGCATAGGTACTTGATGCTTTTTTGGCATTTTGTTTTCTTTTATTTATCTCCTTGGAACTTACCATAACGTGTATGCACTTTACGGTCAAAAAAGGAAGCTTTTCCTTCTAAACCAAGAGTTTGAAAATCTTCTGTCAATAGTGACAATATTAAGTGACCAGTTGGTGTAATGGCAATTGAGTTATCCACATCTATTTTATTTCCAATTGTCAGGAGGCTCAGTTCTCCTGAAAAATTTATGAAAATACAAATAATATAAATAAATACTCTGTCTCCTAAATGTTTATTGTATAATAGAAAACTATTAAGCTACTATTTCTTAATTTCAAATATTGGCACTAATCCATAATCACTTCCATTTATAGTGTAAAGATAAAAATGATCGTTTGCAATGTAATTTAACGTTTTCATTATAATTTATCATATAAACAATACAGAGCAATTGTTCGTCATATTTAAATGATATTTAATTTTCTTTAAGAAATAAATCATTGACAACATATTATTGTCAATTAACTATTTGTGTTATAACATGCATTTACCTTTTTTAACAAAAGCCTCGATAAATTCTTTGTTTACTAAATCGTGTACATTCACTTCGTTAATTCGATAATAGTCGCTGTCTTCTGAAACGCAAGTCTGCAATTTATCCGGATTTCTGACGGTGTCAGGAAGCACCAAAGACACCTGGCGCAGGGCCAAAAGTAATTGCGAATTATGTAAAGATTTCTCAAATCATAACCTTCGTGAAACCACAGAATTAATTACAACTAATTCCTTACGTACAGAATGGTTAAAATAATGTGAGTCGACTATGTCTGGTACTTTAATGATATTATGATTCCTTTTTTCTACCGAAAAATAATGTTGAGGTGGCTTGAAATTCCACACTTCTGGACTTAGCATTTTGAAAACAAAAGAGCAATCTCCACTACTAAAAGGCTCTTATTCTCACAAAAAATACTCACGCGCACCATGTATTGCTAGCTATCAAAGTTTATTTGAGAGAAGTTTATTCCACGTGCTGTCGTTTATATTATATTGAAATAAAATCGTAGCGAAAAAGTATCTCGCATGCTTCGGTAGCGCAGTAGGTAGCGCGTAAGTCTCATAATCTTAAGGTCGTGAGTTCGATCCTCACCCGGAGCAATATTTTTCTTTTTATTCCCGTTATTTTAATAATAATGTTATTGTAAATGTTTATGGATATTTATGCAAATTCCCATTTTTATATACTACGAAGAGAAATTCATTTAAGCGTTTAATTGAGTTATAAATGAAGTAAAAACTTTATAAATCGTTTTACATATTTGCACATGTTATGAATATAAATGCATGAAATACGCAGTTCAGTGCACAAATAGTTTTACCTTGCTGAGAAATTCTACAAAATGACAGAATGAGGTAAATCTTTAAAGAAGTAAACAATGAAAATATATAAGTACAACAATATTTAATTTATATGTTTTAGAAAACTCTGTGCTTTCACATTGTATATAACATACGAAGGTATAAATTGAAGTATTTATTTTCGTCTCCTTCTACATTCGTTTGGATTTTTCTTCATCCAATACTCAACAGATCCTCTTGTCCGTATACCTAGCATAGCTGATTTAGAATATACATCACGCATAATAAATGGAGAATATCCAGCTATGTAATCATCTTGTAGAGGATCGTTTTTAGCGCGCGCTAGTCTCGTCGATCTTTGGTCAGGCACTGGTTGATCTTCACAAAGAATGGGATTGCTTGCATGTTTTCCACCTTTTGGCATTGGTAAAGAAAACTAAAAAATTAAAACCACCATTACACATAATACTACTCATGTCAGAGATATTAAAAAAAAAGTGAAAAGTGAATTGCTCACCCTTTTTCCTTTTTTTGAAATTGGTTTCCGGAAATTAATATGAATTTGTTGGTTTCCTTCATCGTCCAACGTGACAGCGACTTTTTTCAAAGTCCTATTACCACAAGCAGGACAAAAAACCTTTGTCATAACGCTAGTAGTCTTGTAACACGCGTAACACCTAAAAATAAACGTTTTCATTTGTTTGATTATCCGTCCATCCAACGCAACCACGTTCAGTCCAATTTGCTTCAGAACATTTTGCATAGCAAAATCCATTGTCAAACATGCAACAGTTGCAGGTTTCTCTTCTAGAAGTTCTGAATCAATTTCCTTTTTTACAACAGAAATGTTTTCTAGAATAAAATAAGATTTTATGCCCTTTACAGAACTGTTCTATGCATAGTATATTTCAAGAACATTAAACCATCTTACTGGGTGTAATCCATCCACTACCGTCATCATCATTATTATCTTCTTCATCATAATCATCATCGTCTTCATCACCTTCATACTCATTATATTCAGTATTATCTTGTTCATAATTAGAATCATCTTTAACTGGGGCAAGAATGTCGTCAACATTGTGTTCACTGTTATCTTTATCTTGAACTTTGAAGTTTGATGGTTCACAAGTTAACTTCAAAAATTTAGAAGATAAATCTTCTGTTCCTATTTGATCAGAATCTGCAGTTTCATAGTCTGATTCGGTAACAGAAGAATTGCTGTAATATGATTCAGATTCCTCCTCCTCACTGTCATCATTTTTTACTCTATTTTCCAATTTTACTTCTATATTCTTATCACCAAAATCTTCCGTGCACTCCTTTTCTTTTAATTGTTCAGAATCACCTTCCTCTCTACCCTCTTCTTCAACATCGTTCTACAAATTAGAAAATTTCAATTAATCACATTAAGTTCTTAAGATAATAATTGGGCAATATCATGAAAAATAACTATATATTTACCTTTTTTCCTGGCATATAAAAACCAGCTAATGGAGTACGAAGATCCTCAGCTTGGTTGATACTATAATCTATTGTTTTAGATACAAGTGGAACAGTTCTTAGATGATCTGTTCCTACTTTTTCATTTTCCAGTTGATATGTTAATGCAATTACTTTTATGTCAGTTGCAGACAAACTTGCGTAATCACCAGTCTTTTTTGCAAATTCTGTAACTGTAAATATAACATACAAATGATTATACTTTGCACTTGTGCCTATTAATTATACACGAATTAAAATATATTACCAAATTTAATGCTCTCAGGATGTGCACATTGTATTGCTAAATCATACGGCAAGACAACCAATCTTCTTAACTGCCTTTTGTTTGTCACTTCATTCACTACATCTTGTTCTGTTATTATGTTGACTCCAATGTCCTAAAGATAAATAACTTTTTATAATCATTACCATGTTACTACAGACACCATAATACTATTCAACTAGTTAAAATGATAGTTTCAACTTTCATAATGTAAATATAAAATTGATCAAATAACATAAAAAAAATAACAAATAATATGAGTTAATATTATTTGTACATAGAAATTACTTTACCTGTAAAGCTGCATTCCTGATGAATGCACTGGTATCAACAACCAAATATTGCACTTTCTTATTTTCATTCATGTTTACTGATTTTCATAAGGAATCTGTGCACAAGGCACGTGTTCTTTAAACTCTAAGCAATATAATTGCACCTATAACAATTAATTGTCAACGTTAGTGCGCGTATCCATGAACGTCGAAGCAACACAATAGGTAGCTACAATAGTGGCAGCAATAGCAGTTGTACTGGTGCGTGAAGCATGCGTAGCATACGCCGCGATAACTAACCTTCCGAACACAAAAATTGTGATTGGTTCATCGCTAGATAAGTATATACTGTAACCAGTTGTCACAATTCCAAATTACGTTCATTTACATACTTACGAGAATCAAATGAAATTTGTATTTTATTGGTCACAAAAAACATCTCAACCGTAAGAAAATTATGTGAGAATTCGAACGATTCTCAGTGTTTTACAACCATGGATATAGGAATAATATATTTCTATTTATGTCCATGTTTACAACGGCTGTTGAATGATCGAGAGTGTAGATCCGCCTGAGGATGTAATAAATTAAACCTTTCTGAAGACTCTGTCCTGGATTAGGGAAGCAAAGGTTGTTGCGATCGAGATTATTCGTGGACCAATCGTCAACGACACCCCTACAGATTCCATTGTTTGCATTTTTCTTATCCCGTGGAAATCAACGATATATATAGTAAATATATATATGTATAGAAAAATTTAATAACATTTACTACTTGTGATAATTTTTAATCCACATTTAATTGTTTAATGAAACGAGCTCAAGGATGCATGATGGCGCCATTTAGTAACAAGGATGAGGTACATAGAGATATACCATTTACAATTTTATCATTACGCTTTAAAACAATAAATTTTTATTAAAATCATCAGAAACGACAATTGTTAACAGTGATATTAAACTTCTCGTATAATAGACTGACTGTCAACTGGAATAAGAGATATGTTTGTATGCGTTTGATACTTATTGGCTCTGTCTTTTTCAGAATGCAAAAGATTGTTAATGTGTGTTGGGACGTTTTGTGTGCTTGAACTTGAATCGACGGTCACTGCCTGTCTTATTCCAAAAAAACTTCGTGCTACGCGATTAAAAGAAAGACGTTGAGATGTAACACAAACAATTTTATTAGGAGAACATGCAATCGGTTTGTGAAATTTGGTTCTTTGAAGTGTCACGCTTGTACGTTTACTGAAAAATTTTTTCAATCGACAACCAACAAAAAAATAACCTAGTGTTACACGATATTCCAATCCGCTAACTACATTTTTTTCGACAGACGCTGGAATGTTAGCCTTCCTGTGTGTACTCAAGAATAAAGCACAAAAATCATTCGAATTGTAGTAATATTGAGTAACGTTACAGGTTGTTGAACGTAATATAAAAATCGACGCAAAGAATCGAGTGTACTAATATACATACTTATACATAAATTCACGTTGCAATTGGAACCCACTAATATTCGTAATAACGGTAGAGGTGACGTTCAGTTATATAGACGACGACGAAGAAGACATTAACGGTAGTTCTAACAGCAACGTTAAAGATAATCGTAATAATGGAAACAACACCGATAACGTTGGTAATGATTTGACGATGATCGATTCGTATAAAATGGATCCTAACATTGTAGGTATATGCCTATGTTTATATGTAAGTAGAGCACTTCGTCGATGATACAGTAACGGTTCAGTTGTGAATAATGGGAAGTCCTAGAAGGCTATCCTTCGAACGCCTCCTCGGTGTAAGTGTTGCTACTTGTAACAATCGTCGTGCGTATTGATCGATTTCACTCGAGTCACGATGTTTTTTTTTTTCCTCGGTAGCATGTTGTATGTAAAACGTACAGTATATAGCTGGGGCTAATTATTGTATGTAGGTACAACTTAAAATTATAATCCGTAGCGAGTTCTGATCATGTGTCGAGACGTTCTCCGGTATACGAGTAAAAAACAGGCAGACAATTGGGTCCTTTACCGATAGATCGCGAAATTTGAGTAGCAGGAAAATTGGGGGCAGAAACTCATCGAAGTTCGCTGGAAAAACCGATAGTGTAAACCGTAAAGATTGCATCGACAATGGCAACAATTACGTCCAGTTCCGTACGTTAACTTAATTAACTACGCACAAGTCGCTGAGAAATGATCAGGACGTACGTCAAAAATTCGAAGCGAATAAAAAACAAAAATTGAGATTTATTTTTTAGTTAATTTTTCATAGATTTGAAATTCTGATTAAAATAGTAAAATAAACATTGTTCGTATCGTCTTAATAATTAATGCGATTCAACAGCTTGCGTGTCGGAAGAACCTACGATTATACACACCTGTTGTACAAACGTGAAATTTTCCGAAAGAATAATTGCAAATCTGGGAGAAATGTGGTTCGCCTTACGTTTAAAGGGGGGGGGGGGCAGCACGCTGTATTATGATGAATCATCATTCCTGAAAACTGTTATTGAACAAAACAAAAAAAAAAAAACTATCGTCTGATCGAGACTGGTCGTTCGTAGATCCTTACATCCTAATTTATATACATCGGTCGCGTGTACGCTTAAGGCGCATGCACCGTATTACATAATGTTTTTAACCTTCGATTGAATTTAAACAATATATTACAGAATTTACGATACGGCTATGTACACGTTAACGGTAGGTTCGACGTGTGATTTAAGGCGTTTGTTACACCGCCGCTTTGGTATTTACAAGTAATGCCTATGCGTCGGAATTGTTTTGATACACCAACCTGTGAAACGGGCTAATCTCTGCGTATTATCATATTAATAATACACGGAAAATACCAAATGTCTTCGTTTGGTACGAGAATCCGACCAATATGAATCTCTGATCATTCATCGAGTCTCGATTTAAGAGTTTCCCACCGGAATTTCTCGAAATTCGGTCGCAGCTTTCATCAGACCGGTGAGAAGCCTGGGCGATAAGAGCTTTGGCCTATCAAATTGATGGTTGACTTTGTAAGTCGATTGCGTCTTATCGTGTGTATTAAAAAGCTTCAGTTTCACTTCGTCGTGAAAGAAGGCTCTTCTTTCACGCCCATGGGCAGTTCTTAATCAATCGAATCCGAGGGGCCCTGACCCCAACGTGACTTTACTCTTTGCATTTTATTGGAAGGACACGAAGAAGCGGCGGTGGCGGCAGCGGTGGCACTGTCATCGTTCATCTTCCTTTTGACGCTCAATATTATACCACTTTTCGGAACGAACTTTGAACGAAACGATGTCGTCCTAGCCATATTACCTTCTACATTTGGGGGTGTGGATGGGAATGGGGGGAAATCCTCGTCTTCGAGGCCAGGGGGTTTTGGCTGCTCGGGGGCCAAGTTACGTTTGAACGGTTCTGGGTAAGGGCTTTTATATGTAGTTCCCTCGTGAGGAGGATCTGTTACCGAAACTAAACCCGTGAGATTCGTAGACATTGAAATTATCGCTGGGGAGGGACTCGCCGCGATCGTTGGAAGTTTTGGAGTTGTGGATATAATCGGCTGAATGGGATGGTCGGTCGTTATGCCTCCTTGTGACGCTGTTGCGCTCGTGGCAGCCGCTACGGCTGCAACAGCGGCCAGTTCTTCTTCCGCTTTTTTAATTAAATCCAAATCGCTTAAAGAACTCAATGTACTCTTATTTTCTTTCTCCTTCGAGATAGACTCTCGTTGACCAGTCGACTCGAATGAAGAACTTTCGGAATCGAAGTTATTCGATCCGCTGATCGAAAGCTTCGCAGGGGATGCTGAGGAATACTTTTCTGAATTCTGGTAGCCCGACGAGTTGACAGTGGTTAAGAAAGTAGCACTAGGCTTCGACGGTAAATACGGATCTACTTTGGAGCTCTCTTGTCGCTTCACGTTCGCCAGAATCTCTTGTAGATTCGGTGGTATCGTTATATTCGATACTTTGTCCAGAATCGGTTGTGTGAATTTCGAAATACCAGACGGCGGTGGTGGTGTGAATGATCTTGTGTCTGGGGGGCTGTAAGCTTCCTCGCACTCGTCGCTGACCGGTGGGTCCAGCCCTAGGCCCTGAAATAAACGAAAACAAACATTCAAACATTTATAAGTACAACAGGAGCAATAAGGTTCATAAATAGTGTTTTGCACTGACGTTCTTTTCTTCTCGTTAATTTTGCTTTTTTCACTTCGTGATACAATATACTATATACATATATTATGGACATATATATAGAATATATATGTGTATATATATATATAGATGTATGTATATAGAATATAACGTATACACGCTTTTACAGAGCGCAAGAAAAATAGCGTTCACGTGCATGTAGTGCCCCAGTTGGTTGCATGGACAGAAATATATGCATGCATCGCAAACCACTTTGAATGCAGAACGTTAGAATCTTCAATTTTCGTCACTAATGACATACTTGGTTCTCTCCAAACTGAATTATTTCACCTTCTTTCGATACATAAGTTTGCCATTGAACCCAGAATGCTGAGCCCACTGAATGAGAAAGGGTATCCTTGAGTATGAGTGGGAATGAAGCTGATATTCACAAATCTGTACTTTGCGTTCTTGTCTGGCTACGCGTTTCGCAATGAGCACAAATCGTCGAACACAAATGGAATTTAATCAATTTACCTGATGAATATTTTTAAACGTAGGTATCTGTGCTATAATAATGTTGCAATATGTTGCAACGGAGACATAGTTGAAATACGGGAGAAGAATCGAAGGAGAACCAGTATTCGTATGAAGCAAGAATCTGAACAGCTCGAGGATAGGGGATAGGATATCGTAGGTGAATTGAAATCAATTTTATTTACAATGGGGCAATAGGAGAAACAATAACAATCGATGTCGTAAGAGATAAATCTTGTTAAAATTCTCACCGGCAAAGTAGACGTTGATTCGCCGAGAAACGAAGAACTAATGCTTTGTATTTGTTGCTTCTGTTCTTCGATTTGCCGATTTAATTCCTCCATTTTCCGTTGAAGCTCGTTAGAATTTTTACTGGAAGAAATAATACCGTTATCAACTGTCGGCCCGTCGACTCCGCCAATTGCCATTGATATTGACGATATGTTGGTCGTGGTAGCAGAGGAAGTTGTGGAAGCGGTTCGTAAGTCAAGATCAATCTGTTCCTCGTCCATTTGACCGGGGCTGTAGGGCTCGTCGCCGTCGTCGTCGATCGGTACTTTACCAGGCGAGGAAGTCAGGTCGATCTTCGACGACAATTCCGGAACGATTTTGCATATAGCCGCGGTGTCGAGTATTGAGCTTCTCGACATCCCAATGTGCGCTTTGTTCAACGTATCGAGAGTGGTCTGCGTGACAGGATGTTGCTTCTCCTTCGCAGAGTCCATTGCAGCTTTGTGATAGATACTGGTGACCGTTGCGATGGTGGGCGAGGCAGATGAAGCAGCAACAATTGGAGTTGTTGTAGCCGTAATCGTACCTCCGACCATTGTCGTCGCATTAGAACTACTTGCCTTGTCTTTCGAACCGCCAACCAACGGCGGAGTGTAACTTCGATCAGTGTCCTTTTTCGCCAGTTTCATCGGTATAGTGTTCGAGGAGATGCCGGCAAATCGTTTCCTCTTGTTACGAACGATTATTCCTAGCAGAAGATGCGGCCTGTGCTCTTCGAAACCGGGACCGTTTAAAGGTAACAGAACCGGTGGTATTGTGCTCTGGCTCGAAAAAGGCATTATATAAAAGTCCTTGATGTTCTTCGATACATTTCCAACAACTCCGAGTCGACTTCTGCTGTTCAAATAACTATAGAGAGTTATATACGGAATTTTTTCCTCGTCGTTGGCCGCGGTAAGACGAATCACTAAAATTTCTTTCGAGCCGGTTTTCTTCATCTTCGAGATGTAATCCCAAACAGTTTCGTGGCTTATCCTACCAACAACGTCCACCGTATCCGGCAAATCGTCCATCAAATCTTTCGCATGACCGCTGACTTCCTGCGCGGTGATGAAAAATTTTGCAACGTCCACCATGTTAACGAAGCCTCTCCAGACTGTCTGCCATCCGCCCCCTTTCGATGCGTCCCTTTCGACGGTACTCGGCTCCTGTTCCCTATCCCTGTCGATTTCGTCGTTAATGTCTGGCGTTTTTATCGTGACGGTCGAAGTTGGCTCCCTATCGGATACGTCGGAATCATTCCCGTCAATTGTATTAGTGGTGGCCTCATCCTCGATGTGTCGCCAAAGACGATCTTCGATCGACTTCTCTGTCGATGCTCCGGCTAAACCAGCGAGGTCATCTTTCTTCTCTGTGTCCCTCTTCTTGTCCTCCTCCTTTTTATCAGCTTCCTTCGATTCGGCGAAATACATGAACCCACCAACGCTACGATTCCTGAAGTTGTTCTCGCTACCTTTGTGTCGTTCGCGTTCCTTTTCCCTATCTTTCTCTTTCTCTTTCTGCTTACTCCTATCTTTGCCGCCTCTTTCACGAACCTTCGATCTGTCACGATCCCTGGTTCTCGAACGATCACGCTCCTTCTCTTTTTCACGTTTGCTATCCTTTTCCCGAGATTTTCTTTCCCTGCTTTTCTCTCTGGTTTTGCTGCGCTCTCTGTCATCCCTACCATGCTTATGTCTGTTTCTGCTGGTACTTCTGTCACGTCTGCCAACCCCTTTCGAACGACTATTCTCTTTCTCCCTTCCCCTCTCCTTCTCTTTCACCTTCTCGCGGCCCCTCTCTTTCTCCTTTTCTTTCTCTTTCCTTCTCTTCTCATCGAAACCTTTCAATTTCTTCGTATCGTCCTTCATTCTCGATCGTTCCTCCTCATTCGTTTTTTCACTCTCCTTCTCCGCGTCATCCACCGTTGATGTTATACTGTCCGCGCTATTCAATGCAGTTACAATGTCTTGCACGGGAGTTTTAGGATCGACGTGATCGATGCCCCCGTCGTTCTCAATAATTTGTTCACCCTTGTGTGTTTTCACAACGATAGACTTCGCCTGCGCCATTAAATCTAACTCGTTTTTCTTGATCATTTCCAGCTGATGCTTCGTTTCCTTTTCTCGCCACTCGGCCAATTCCTGGCTGGCCATTTCATCGGGACTTAGTTTTACCACCGCGTCGGGAGTTAACGATCTGTCGGCTATTTTTCTAAATAACGTCAAGTTTTTCGTATCTTTTATGTTGAACACCAGACTTCTGTATTTAGCTTTGTACTTTGCTCCGGTATCTTTGAAGTATTTATACATCTCTAATTCGATGTTGAAGGCCAGTTCTGCGATTTCTTCGTCGCTTAGCTTCAAATCTTCGGTTTCTTTTATACGACTTGATAATAATTCCGTTAATGTTTTTCTTATATTTAATCGTATAGGTTCGGTTTCGGGTTTCTTCACTGGCATTGGCTTTACTGGCTGTTTCGACTGTACAGCTGGTTGTTTCGCTTCTTGTTTCTTTACAGTTTGCAACTGTTTTGGCGATGGCGCACCCTGTTGCTTTAATTGTGCCGGAGTTGTTGGTTTTGGTACCGTTGTTTTCAGTATCAAAGGGCCTCTACTTGTTTGAGCGAGTAACGTTTGCTTCATTTGTACTGGTTTTGTATTCGTCACTTGTATTTGTTGCTGTTGATGCTGCTGCTGTTGCTGATGATGTCCGGTAGAAATTACTGTATATTTTTTATTTCCCGCCGTTAAAATCATTTGCTTCGAACCTGGTACCTTCGCGTACGTCATCTTCGGAGGAATATTTTGTGTTTTTCCAGGTGGTAACAGCGTGGATTTCACCTTAAATTAGGGTTTTATTTAATAATGTTTATCATGAATGACAAAACCGTGAAAATACACGAAACGATCAGAAATAATTAAACAGTCAAATATACGTACGGTCTTGCTAGGCAATTGTGTATGAATCGTTGTAGTAATTGTTTTCCCTATCTGCAACGTACTGAGATTATTCGCCCCAACCACCTCGAACGTTGGGTTTTCTTTTAACCACGTACGCAAATTTGATCTCGTCGGTGCATCGACACCTGAAACAGCCGTATTTCTACAACGATTGTCGCTGTATACTACAAACAGTCAAGTAAAACGAACTCGAAATATTTTCCTATCCATCTATATCGCGAACGAAAAGTATAATTGTGTTTTGTGAACAGTGTTGACTCACCACTCAACACCTTTCCGGTTTTCCTTTCGAAAACTATAACTCTAGCTTCAGGTTTAGTCTTCGTGGATGTATCGAACGGCAACATCCTCGTTGTTCCTTTTGGGCTTGCCGTTGATCCCGCCGCTGGTGGTTTATCTTTGGTGAGTGTTTCTTGGGCGTGCGCGAGTATACAAGCGTCGGAACAATAAATGCTAGAATTTCGTGCTTCTTTCTTACAAACAACGCATTGCATACTGCTGGAATATTGAACACTGCCGTAATCGGAATCAGACGGAATCAAAGACAAAGTTTCACCGACAACCGACGCCTGATTGGAAGATGCAAGACTCTTTACAGCGATAGTATTGTCGGCTACAACACTGGATTGAATTCGTTGCTTTGCAGGTGCACTGGGCGCGTTCGTCTTAGTTTTAATTTCTTCGTCCTTCTTCTTTAAGCAATTTGGACAAACCCATTCAATTCCTTTCTCTTCCATTTGTTGACCTAAACGAAATATGCAAGAAAATATGATTTGTAAAAATATTTTCTTTTTGACAGTCGTGCAAACTGTGTTTCAGTCTTACCCATAGCTTTGCTAACATGTACGCATTTCCCGTGAAACCAATCCTCGCACACGTCGCAACAAATCATAAAACGATTGTTATGCGGTCGTTTGCATATACACCATAGCCTGTCAGGATCATCTTCTGAGTCTGAATTATCCTCCTCCTCTTCCTCCACATCCTCGTCTCCGTCCTCGTCTTCCTCCTCTATCACTCCATCCGGCTTCTGTTGTTCGTCATCCTCCTCTTCCTCCTCCTCCTCGCCCATCTGACCACCTTCCTCTTCCTCCTCATCCACATCTTCCTCGTCTTCAATTATATCCTCAGTTTCATTTTCTTCATCTTGTTCTATAACGTTCGAGTGTGTTTCGTTTTTGAGCGTTTGCGCTGATCTTTGCTGTACTGTTTGCACACTGTAAACATCAGCACGTGTACAATGTAACTTTCTGATAGACTCAGATTTCAATTTTATTGGTCAACTTCGTTTACTCACCTGAACTTTTCCGTTTGTTTCACGGGCTCCGCGCTTCTCTGAGCAGGTTCGACCTTTTCTTGCAACCGTTTACTTCTAGTAGCTGGTGCCTCGATAGGAGGCAACGTGATTATTCTACCACCACGAATAATTTGAATAGGTTCCTTCTCATCTTTCGTGGATTTTTTTACAGACTCCCGTGCTACGCTTGCCGTGGGTGTTGTTACAATGGGCGAAGCACTCGCTACAGCTGCCGCCATTACTGTCGTCGAAGTATCCAATGGTTTTACCGTTTCTTGATCAGATGTGAGCAAGGACGGAACAAGCACATTGTTCGCGGGCAATGACTCGGACGTTGCACCTCTCTCTTGTTCGACAAGTGCGCCCTGCGGTATTGTATAAAAATAAAGAAAGGGAAAGACGAAATTAAAAAAGCGTGTAGGAATAATTAGCGTGCAATTTTGTGTGAACCAAAAAAATTCTTATACATGATCAGCCAAGACGACTCCAAGTTCGTCTTGTAACATAAGCGCTTCTGCAAGTAGTTCCTCCTCGTTTTTACTGGCCTCCATTTCCAACGTAGCCAGCAAATGTTCCTCGCCTTCTATGCCGCCTACAAAATTCGTTGCATTAATGTGTATTAGATTATGGTTTGCACTGAATTATACGGGAAACAAAGGACAAAGGTTTCACTTCGGAATTCACCTGAATCTAAAGTAGACTGTAACTCCTCTGGCGCATTAGTTTTTATATCCGGTTTAGGTTCCTCCTCGTTACTATGATGTGCCAATGCATCATCATTTTCTCCTTTCTCCACGTGTACGTGAGACTCTGAATGAATAATTCGTTCAGATTGCGAAGAGCCACTGATGCCTTTTATCAGAATATTAAAAGGTCAATTAGGCATTGCAACGATCGAGAAATGAATGTTTGAGTATGGAAACGTACTTGAGCGGCTAGATGACGAAGACGATGATGTAGAAACTTGGCTCGTTGTCGCAAAAGAACTCGTAGCGCCTGTGGTGGTAGTGTTTATAGTTGGAGTCGTGGAAATTAAGGATGTCACTATATTTTCTTGAATTTTTGTCGTATCTCCGTTTGAACCGACTCTACGAATAATGTCGGGAGTCGAGAAAAGCGCAGGCCCTAGACTGTCCACCATATACGCCGGTGATTTACGGGTTTCTTTTTTTGGGTGTTTTTTTGTACCTGAAACGAAATTATCGATCAAAATTATCGAACTACGTAAGTAGTCGACACGATCCTGTCAACTAACCGTCCAAAACTTTGCACTCAGCAGCTTTGCCAGACTCGATTTCGGATTTGGTAATCACTTCGAAACTCTCAGATTTCTTTTTCTCTTTTTTCACGTCGCAAGGCTTTATTTTTGATATGCTACCAGGTGAAGTTATTTTTATTGACTGCTGCTGTTGTTGTGGTTGTTGTTGTTGTTGCGGCTGTTGTTGTACGTACGGTGTTTGGTTTTGACTCACGGTCGACTGTTGTGTAGATAGAACTTGGGGTAGCGTACTTTTCATCTGAGTGATCGGTACGTTCGAAGTTATAGCTTTAGTTGTGATCGGTACTTGAAGCAATTTGCCGTCTTTGGTGGCAAAAATTTTCGTCCCAGTTTGACTGATAAATTTTCCTTTGGGAAACATCACCTGTTTTTTCGAGTCTACGCTTCTGAGATCGTTCGATTTCATAAGTACTTGTTTTTGAACAAAAGTAACTTTCGGACTGTTCTTTCCTTGCCCCGGCTTTGTAAGAATCATATCACCTTTAATCATATTGGCATTAATCAAATTGGCTTTCACTTGATTTGTCGTTTGCAACGGTTTTTCGAACGCAAGCGGTGTATCCTCGTTCGTGACTGTTGCGGATGATTCAACGCGTTGCGATTCTTCCTTTTTTCTCCCAACAATGGATTTATACTGTCTTTTACCTCTGACGACAGTAAATCCTCCTAATAATGAAAGCAAAATAAGCTCCAGATGTATCATAACGAAGCAGATCTTGTTTTGTGGAATATTGACTACAATTGAACAATACCTATTAAATGCGCTAACGTCTTACCAGATTTTTCATCTTTCTCCGGGCTCTTCATAGCATTTACTGCTGCAGCCATTTCCATGTCTAATCTACGAACTTGTTCTATATCCATTTGTTTATTCGAACCTCGTTTACGAGTGGCCGCCATACTTCCTCCTCTAGTAGTAAGACCTTTTCTACCACCTCTGGCTCTTATACCGCCTCTTCTAGGTCCCCGAGGTCCAAAATCAGAATCGTTGTCTGACGGTGGTTCCGACTCGGACGATTCGGTAGACGACGATGTTGGTTCGTCTTCATCCTCATCGTTGGACCTTCCTTGATCTGATAGAACACAAAAATTTGAGACTCGTTATCAATATGGAATTTTGTGTAAACTATAACACGAAAATAAAAAGTATATCTAATGCAACTGATCGATTTATATAATTTTCGTAATTACGTCGTCCGAGTCCCTGGTGTATCGTCCCTGTTAAATTTCTAGAGGCCGATTGTCCCGTAGACTTTGGTGTAGTTGTTATATTGGCAGATGGTCTTGAGTTGTTGCACGCCGTTATAGAAGAAGCCGGTGAGACATTCTTCCGTGGACGACCTACGGGTTTACCCTGCAAGAAATACCACAACGATTGGATGTCATATTTAAGTGTAACATCGGATATGCGTAATTCAGAATGTGTACACACAGTTTTTATGATGCTCTTTGGCTTGGTTGTGACTGTGCTATCCGTGTCTCCAACAGGTGACACTGTATTGGGTGTACCATGACCAGGAGAAGGTTGATGACCATACTGCACGTTATCACTGGATGTTGGAGAATCAGTGGTAGGCAAAGGATCTCTCGGTTTTGGATCAGATGGTGATAATCGGCTAGTGTAGCAATGATCCAGTTCTACGCTATACCGTATAGAGTTCTGCTGTTCTTCCACTGTTAACATATCTGTAAAATTAAATTATTTGCCAAATAATAAAAGCAAACATAACATTGCAATTTACAACGTTTATAATTAGTTAGAGATAAAAACTGAAGGATGGCATTACCGAGCATCGCAGTAACATTTTCTCCAAGAATTTGTTTTGCTTCTTCGCTTTGTAAAGCTGTCTCTAATCTTTCCAGTTGTTCCGGGTCCATCTCCATAAAAGGATCAACCAAACTATTAGTGTCTGTGGCTGAGCCACCTGAAGTTACAGTAGTGGATGTAAAAGGTGGAGGGTCCACGGTCAAAGTTATATCTCCATTCCCTGTGTCTGTTTCAGCTGGTCCAACTCTTACAACGCTAACATTAGCATTGGACTGATTCACTGCAAACAAAATGCCACTGAATAATGCATTGGATATCATAAGAAACACAACTGAACAACCAATCAAACTTACTGATCAAACTCTGTAAAGTCTCTTGATCGACAGATATTGTACCATCATCATTGACAACAATGATCAAAGTGTCATCCTTCTTCTCTGATCCACTCTCTTGTGGCTCAATGACATACGAACTGGACATCTTTTTTAATCTAAACCAAAGATGACTGTGAACATTTTTAATTGGACTGTTACAGTTTAGGTAAAAATCCATACATAGATCCTAAATAGATTATATCCAGAAAAAGAAAGATCTACAAATGCCTCTGTCAGAGTTGTATTGCTTTCCGTAAGATCGTTGAGTGTATTGAAAAGTATGGTAAGTATCCGATTAGACAGGCTTTAGGTATGTATAAAGTAAAAACTGCTACTACATGACACAAGCCGGGTAAGGCTTGGACACGAGTTAGATTATACAAATTGATTTCCCTTCAGGAAATCACACGAAAAATTATTAGTCGGTGGAACGACGAAACGCAACAACGTGTCATATTCAGCAGTTATCGTTCACGTTTATCGCGCTATTACCTATTATATGTACGTGTGCAGAACACAGGAGACTTTAAAGACCGCGAACGTTACGCGAACTGTTACAGACACAGAATTCCATCGATGTCGGTCGATTGTAAGAAAGTTAAATATAAAACACTTTTCGGACCACACTTCCTCAGAAACATAACGTTCACGGTCAAGTAAACAGTACCGCCAAGAAGAGAAAAACCGCCATTTTGTTTCAGCCAGCCAAGTAATGTTTCCCGAGAGTTTACGCTCACCCGTCGTTGTTTCCGTTGTTACAGAGCTACTCGTACGGAACTGAATTCGTATAAAACTTCTTCCGCGGAATCTTCATGAAAACAACGTATATCGCGGGAAAAGGTAAATTCTCTTTAACGATACATCGTGCAACGAATGCACTTGCTCCTTCCTGCACACACTAAGACGCTGCGCGCTTTACGTTGCGCAACAGCAAGAAGAGCTATGTAGGTGGTAGCGCTGCGAAGCGCTAAACACTAACGAACGAAACACGGACAGTTGTAATGTAACCGGCAGTCGGCGTTGAAAATTGTGTGTAATCGTATTTTCAATTCTTCGTCGTATTTATCAATAATGCATCGACAAAATGACACATCTCAATGATATACTCATTAATGTTTATAGTTAATGAACTAGATATGTTTGATATCTGAAAAATTCTTCTGTTTTATTTTTTATTAGATTCCTTGATTTCTTCCACTTTTTGCTCGAGAACAAGTATTTTTTACTGTTAAAGCATCACACGTTATATACAAGTACATACAAATTATTAAATTATCGTCACAAAGGTGAATACAGATTACTTTTAACTGCAACGACGTTGCTGTTGCGAAGAAATTCGCCTCCGTATCCCAAAATATTTTTCAAACGATTTTAACGAAATATTCGTTGACATCATTTTTGTACATACGCTCAGAAGACCTAGTTTGAGCATGTATAGTTCATAATCGTGACATTACTTGTAGAATCTTGGTATTAACATTAATATTGTCGTTACGTTTAAAATCTATAAGTAAAAACTCTGCAGCAAATAGCTATATGTATGCAGTAGTTTGGCGCGACATTGCTTGCTGATGCATGCATGTGTTAGTTACATACATCATGTCCTACTCCTGTATTTGATGCAGAATGAGGGGATGAGACTAGCAGAACGAACGATAATATTTTGAAAGGGAATATAAACGTGTCTCACAAAAGTTTAACGCAAATGGAAGACAACGAGAATGTCGAAAGCGTTGAAAATCCAGAAGTTGTAGAATCAGACAATGCGGCCAAGACAAAAGCTCGAAAAAAAGGAATTGTGTATTTATCTAGCATACCGAAGTATATGAATATTACGAAAATTCGAGAATTGTTTTCGGTTTATGGTAAAGTTGGAAGAGTATATTTACAATTAGCAGAAAACGGTTAGTAATTTTCGTAACGACTAAAATTTGTTAAGAGGAATTTGATACTACCGGAAACATAACCCTCATTTTACGTATTTATTAGATGTTTAACTTCTAGTATGTACTTTCAGTTGTAATAGAGTAAAAAAATATTAGAAATATTATTGTGTTTACTTCTATTTATAATAACAGTCGTTTGTCGATATTCGTATATGTATTTCTTTCTAATTCTAGTGTCAGAACAAGATGGTAAGATAAAGAAACATAGGAAAGTGTGTGCAAAAACCTTCACCGAAGGTTGGGTTGAGTTTGAAAGTAAAAAGGTAGCAAAGCAGGTTGCACTGCTATTGAATAATAAACAAATTTCAACTAGGAAAAAGAGTAAATTCTATGACATTATTTGGAACATAAAGTATCTGCCAAGGTAAAGAATTTAACCCAGTTGTTGCTATAAATGTCCTTTTAAAAGTGATTTTAAACAATTTTTTTCATAACTCGCATAGCTTAGTGCATTTTACTACTATCCTCTTAACAGAACACCATGTATTCCAAGAACTATCGTTCAGAATTTATTTAAAACTTGATTCCTGGGTATTTCACCATAAAATCAACTTAATTTCATGAAAAAAATATACAAGGCAATAAGTTCAATGATGTCTAGGTTAAACAGAGTTTTACATCTTCTATACAATTTATCAGAGCAAAGCATTTGAGTATACCTTCCCTATTAGGTTCAAATGGATTCATTTAAGTGAACGTTTGGCTTATGAACGAGCAGTGCGGAAGCAAAGGCTACGAACAGAGATTGCACAGGCTAAACGCGAAGCCAATGTCTTCTCTCATAATGTTGATAGAAGTAGGAAGCTACGTCGCATGCAGCAGCAGGATGAAACTAGCATATTTGTACCACCCGTGATAAAACAAAGAGACACAGACGCTGAAATAAGAAGTAGAAAAGAGAATGATCTTGCCACGGATAGGACAGGTTTTCTGAAATCATTGTTCGGGTAATGATCATGAAACAGATGAACAGAATACTTTTATATAAATGGCAAACATGTTTCTTTTTCCCTTTTTTTGTCTTTTTCTATAGCACAAAATAAAGTATATTGTATTTTTAGATGATTGTTATTAACACCTATTCCTTCATGGTTCAAGGAAAAAACGAAAGATGAGTTTATGAAATTTTTACTTAACATCTTAGGATCTAAAAGTGAAGAGGTAGTGTTTATTTTATACATTTACATTACAAGTAAAGAATTAAAGTTCGATCCTAGGGAGTGATTAAATTGTACCGGGCGGCGCGGCGATTCGTAAGTACGGTCAATGGTTCCTTCAAAACGTTAATTGGTATTAGCATGCAGGAAACAGTATTGCAAACAATTACTCCCAGAAGCATTCGATGACTTAGGCACAACTGCGTTCCCAAGGGTGACTCTGCTCTTCGACTAAAATGTAAATCCTATGGAAAGTATCAGCTACCTTGTTAAACAAAAATTTTCTTTATTTTCTATTAGAGACAAATAATCTTTGTTGTACCTGCACAATATAAACGTAGGAAGACCCAAGAATCGTGGAAAACATTAATTTGTTCGTGTACGTTACACGTAGTATACACGGTATTGGATATTCGATTCGCAAAAGAGACATGTGTTTGCATGAGTCAAGCGTCGAGTGGAATCCCGTTGACTCGGCTAGTATTTTTCTTCCTAATTTGTTGTTGTTGACAATAGGGGCTCATTAGACTCGATTGAAACGAGTCCAAAAGACGAGCGAAGAAATAGTGACTGGGCAGCAAGGGGATGATAGAGCGACCGAGAAAGACGGTTGGTCGCGTCATTCGTACGACATTCAATGCTGACGAAACGTCGATTCCACCCTCGGCGATCAATTGGCCCAATTTAGACCTAGTTATTTTTCCGTCGATGAAAGAAGGTCAGTGCTGTCCCTTGCAACGGATGGCGTCTCGGAGTCGCCTCGCACGCGTCGATCTTGCTATATTCTTAATTCTTATTGTCACTATCGTTAACCAACCGGAATAAGCTCCAGCAGTGTAGATGCGTTACAAAAGAGGACTAGAAGGTTCTACGCAATGCGAATGGTTAACTGTTAATTGGTTAATAACAAAAAAAATGGTCGTGACGATAGGAATGGCGATTCATTTTTTTCCAATGTGTTTTCCTAATATTTCAATAACATGCCAGACGCCCGAACTTTTTTTGCCTGTGCTACGATTCTTTTCGTGTCATGGAATCATGTTAGCTATACATACAATCGAATTTGAGGAAAATGAACACAGGACGAAAAACAACGAGAATGAAATCATAGTCGCGTCTCACCCTTCCCTGTAGGACCATCCGCCAATTTGATCGCTTCCAATAATTTTCTTCTTGTTGTCACTAGACAATTTCAATTTCAATTCCAGTTTCGGATCACCAAACTCTTTAGTCGATATTCGCATTTCACGTAATGTCAAAAGTACAGACAATATACGTATAATATTCATATTACAATATCAATATAATATCGAGATGCATATGTATTACGATGAAAGAGAAACTTTCGATTTTCGATGCATTTATATTTCAATATGCATACATACATATTTATCAGATATGTCTGACGCGATATCTTGCTTCGTAACCAAATTCTGCACGCAAACTTTAAACAGATCTCACATACATACGTGCATACAACGAAATTTGTTCTTATTCAGAATAGTATAAGCAAGAATTTGAATAAAATTTTCATTTTCGTTGGAATTTTGTTTCCAAAAGTTTTATACAAGGTATGCTTCATTGGTTAATGGAAGTAATCATTTTTCTAGACGACCTTCTTCCCATAAAGTGTCTATCACCGTGCGTTTTAATACGCACACTGCTAACGATTGGATGCATTCGACGGTACAATATCTACCCGCGTATCTTGCGAATTGCCATCCTATGGCTGTATTGCCTCAATATTTCTCGCACCCTTGACTCCCGCCAATTTTAACGAAATACGACGGCACGTGTACTCGAGATTTTATCCGCCGTTGTGTTCCACGTGTACCTTAAAATTGTCGTTGATCAACCACCTTTCTTCTCTATTCGACGCCCACATTTGGATCTTGAAACGTGGGACACGCGTCACTGTGTGTCCGTGCACAATCTTCACGTTTATCACGACGAAACGAATGGGACGATACAAAATTGTAAAGTTGGAAACGAAAAGATTAAAAGGAAAGTAATAATTCAAAAGCACTAGTATATAGAAGGAAAGAAATGGGGGGTGGGAAGATAAAGATAGAAGGGGGAGGGACGGAGAAAGATATAAGAAAAAGGACAAGAAGACGGTGACGACGGACAAGACGTCAGCCAGTCGTTATCCGCACAGAAGAAGATTGCAGGCTCTATTTCTGTGTGTTTGCAATTAGGTGGGAAGTTGATCACACCAACTGAGGAAGGCGGCTCGAGGCAGAGAAAACGGGGCGGTGGGCAAGAGGGGGGGGGGGATAACACGGCGATTTCTCTGAGGAACACGAAGGGGTAGCGCAGAAAGGGGTTCTTCCTGAAAGAAAATGACGCGCGCACGGAACACCCGCCGAGAGGTGTATATTAGACGCCGAACGCCCCGACGCTCCGATCAGAAGGATTCTGTTCGTGGTACCGTTGCTGCCATAGAAGGGAGAGACTATCAAGGTACGCCTGCCAAGATACGCAATTAGAAGATTCTTCGTACATTTCGTAATTTCGATTAGCAGAATGCTTTTTATTTTGGAAAAGATTCTTCACCGTAGATTCATCACCGTTGTCCGTCGTCATCATCGTCATCATCGTCGTCGTCACAGTCGCCGTCGTAGTCGTTGAGGTCCGAATTCGTCCTCGGTGTTCAGTGTCGAGTGTCGAGTGTCGAGTGTCGCGTGTCGTGTGTCTGAGTGTCGAGTGTCGCGTGCCGTGACTAGGGAATAGTGCGAGGATACCGAATGAAGCAAAGCGGGAAGCATGCGTGGATTTTTTTTTGTCAATTTTTTACTTTCGCGTATGTCGTTTACTTCCGTGAACAAATTTTTTCATCCCACTTGTCGACTTAAATTTTTGGCTCAGTAGATAACTGGTCTGACAGATTTTAGTTCACCAGAGAGAAATGGTGAAGGTCGAGGACCGCCAAAAAATATATACTCATATGTATATGTATTTATAGGAATTCTAGTCATACGATGGAGAATGATCCCGTAATAATGCACCCGTTCCCTTTGGAAAGGTCTTTACCTTTAACCTTTTATTATCATTTCGAGTTAACGTTATATACTTAGAAGGATTCAAGAAGACAAAGTCATACCTACAATTTTCTCGTTGGATAAAAAATATGTTGTTTTAGATGGAGTTGTTTCTGAACAGAAATTGTCGTATGAATACATCCTTGCAACGTTTTATTAGCCGCATCTCATTTTTCTGAATTAGAAAATTCTTTCCCGGCTAGAACTAATTCTGTTCGAGTATTTATACTCCATATCCAACGATTTTATTCGTTACGATAACGAAGTAGTTTCAAGCGTTTCTCTGTATCGCTCGATCGAATATGTTTCTGGTGTCAAACTATACCGACTGTGTTTCATTCAGTTTTTTACTCTTATCGACAATTTTTATCGATTGGGTTTACACAAAGCACGAGGATGCGGAATACTCTCGATCTTGACCCAGTGACGAAGGTCAACGTTAACAATGCCAATCACGAGGGCTGCACGTAATTCTATCGAGAGTTAAGCGGATAGAGGGGGTCGAAAGACTTACACACATAAAGAAAAAGTAACAAGAGATTTATCTAATGATCTATCAAAATAAATTAACGGCGAAGACCTCGCGAAAATGTGCCTTAAAATTTAATAGAAGAGGAGACCACGTTGTCTGAGAGAAACGAACGAACGTATATACATACATGTATATGTAGGTACTGTTATTTATCCTAAAACCGTATATGTACTATACCACAAGCTCTGGAACTATTAGAGATTTTTGTATTCACCTGAAAATATTAACAGAATGCAATACTAAATGAACACGTATTAGTGAATGAACATTATAAATACAAATAAATTAAGTTAGTAAAATAAGCAAATCATTATATATTAATTTTTTCAATACCTTGTTCCATATTCAAATAAGTTTCGCGCCATTGGTTAGAAATGTTCATATACTTGATATTATTCAGTCCCTTGTAAAATTTATATTTTTTCTTTTTTATTTACTTAATTACATTTTTCCAATTGTTCAAATTCAAATCTATACGTTATAAAAAGATATACATAGATATTTAAAAAAATCTAATTGCTGCGTTTACCCTAGGCGCACCTGTCTTGTACTAATAAGCTTGTTTTTTTTTAAATTTTCATCAACCACGTTTCTATATGTTCATACATATACATATATGTAATCGTTGACGGTGAAATGACGTTCGATTTAAGGTCACCGAAAATTTGAGGGAAGACTACTTCCACGGTCCTCGATAAAATGGCCGAATAATTTTAGTGGACACAGTCTGTTAAGAATCACGTAGTTTGTTCGATAATCAAGACCGGTACCAAAAACAGAAAAAAATTCGATATGCATAAAGTGGCAATGTTCACGCATTCATGCCCGCGATAATCATGAGCGAAGGAAACAAGCAACTGACCGAACACCCGATTCAGAGAGCTATTCTGGGAATTTACTACGGAACTCGAAGGCGAGCTACTTTCCGCTTTCAGAGAAGTTGCCGAGTTATTTATAGCATTCTACCACGATACGTTTGTCAGAAAAGGACATTTTCTCTTTCTTCCGTTTCTCTTCTCTCTTAATAAATCTCCTTTCTCGTATCCTTTGCTTCCACTTTCTCCCCCCTCCAGCCCCCCTCAAACCCCCACCTCGCATCCACACCCACACCTGACCCCCTCCTCCACTTCATGTATCTTAAAATCTTCGTCGTTAAATGACAATTTGATCTTCGATGTGTTATTTGACCGACAGGTATCGTTTGGAAGACACGGTGTACCGGCTGGTCTCTGTCAAATGGATGTGCGCGAAAGAACCGTTGCTAGAACCGATAATTAACTGTATAGTAGCGAACGTAATGGGGAGGTGAAAGTTAACCAAAGGTTGCTCGATTCCTGTACAGGTTGTACACCCGCGAGCAAACTCGGCTTCCGCTAGGGGAAAAAGCAGTGTAGGAGAAGGGCCTTCTATCACTTGGTCTTGGGAATTATTGAAACTTATGTCAAATTAACATTCGATTTAACATTTATTTCCGTATTTGAAATAACATTTACCAAGTGGTAGGAGGCCCTTACTTTTACATCACTTTTTACCCTAGTGGAAGCCGAGTTTGCTCGTGAGGGTACATAGTATCTACCTATGGAAGCTCTTGCGAGTTGATGAAAATTTCGGATGGATATCCTCGAATGGTTGAATATACACGAATATATAAACATGCAGCATCCTTTTCGTTGTTCACATACTTAACGTGGATACGATTTAACGCACGAGAACACCGCGCGTGCGGAGCTACGTCGGAAAGGGTGACGAGGGAGGGTGGGAGAGAAGTAGGTATCGAGTAGGGGGGAGGGTGTAGCAATGAACGGTTGCGCGCAAGAGGAACCTAGGCTGATCGTAGTCGTTTCGAGTGGCCGCTTGACTCGTACAGGAGGGTCTTTTAACCGTCCATTCGCGTTAAGTGGCAGTCGCACCCACAGAGGGGCTCGACCGTAACAGAAAAGGATGACGAAACGTGTGCGTGCTTTGCAGATGATTGTCTACTCTGTTATCGATGCCTTGCCATTTGTGTTGAAACTGATGAACTGGTGTCGCGTGTTTCCCGTATGTTCCGCTAATTTCTCCTTGCCTTGTATTTTCTCTTGTTTATCATTGCTAAACCGCGATTTCGTATCTTTCCTTCGTAACTTGTAAACTTTGATTCGAACATGGTACCGCCGATCTAACGAGGTTAGAAGCATTAAAATTGTTTATTGCAATCAGTCCCGTTTCCTTTGGCTTCCCTTTTACGATCGACAAACAAGAGTCGTACAATTGTCGCGGTGCACGAGGTATAAACTACAAGTGTACGGTAATGCAATCAAGAACAGTCAACATAGGCAGAAGCTAAAAGGAGCTATGAAACAAGGGGGAATCTGTGCATGCGCGCGTGTTTGTACCGACGCGACGTGTTTGTTTTGTGCAATGTAGAACATTCGAAAAAAAGTTGTAAGATTATTACAGTCACACAGCTACAGAGAAGAAGGATTAAAAGAAAAAGTTTAGGAGAAGAAAGAGAAGGAATTAAGGATGGGTAGAAGATTGTACGTTTGACAACAGTAAAATAAATTGATAAATCCGCGAAGGTCGAAATAAAGGCACAAGCAACAAAGGGAGGTTAAGAGAGAAAAAAAAGAGAAAAGAAGAATGTACACACAGCGATTTGCAATCGAATACAGTGAAATATGCATCGGACGAACCGGATAGAAATTTGTGTGTAAATAGTTTAAAGTTCGAGAAACTTAACGATTCTGCTGGTAGGAGGAGACTCGACCAACTGATGTTCGGCTCGAACGCGTGAGAAAATTAGTTGGAGTGTATGCAGTGACTGGCACGGATACAGACATTAAACCTATCAGCTCTGTTCTCTGTTTACAGACAGCGATCGTATCAAAGTTTTCCGTTATGCAACTAAAGTGGCTGTAAAATTCCGAAAGGAAATAGTTACGCGTTTACGCGGAAAACGATGGAATGTAGGAACGAAATGTTCGAATTGTGATGAAAAAATGATTTCCAGGCGCGAACAGATTAGATGAAACAAGACGATACAATACAGGATACAGGACCAAGTTGCATGTAAACCCGTCCGTCGGTGTCCCAAGTTCCATGCCGTAAATCGCTGAAGAAAAGTGCTGCTACTCTTTGTGGCATACATACACGTAAAAGCAAGGATGAAGTTACCTTGAGCTTTCGACCATTGGGATCAGTGGGACTGATTTCGATACGACACAGTGCTCGTTGAGGGAGATGAAGCTGCCGCCGGCGCGTTCAATCCACCACGGGGGACAACGACCGTCGTCGTGTTACGAGAAGTCGTGTCAACTTTGCGATTCGCTACGTGAGTTTCGAGAGTGAATGCTCGCGCAAAGCTAACCCAACCAAGAAACCGACCGACTCCGTCATGGAAAAGTGAAAGAAACGTGCCGGAACGTGTACAAGACCCAGCCAGTTGATATTCTAACGTGATGGCATCTCGATTCAAATTTCAAGGCATCCTAGTGTCAGTCAAAACTGAATATTCTCTATCAACCACCTCTTTTTATTGTTGAATTTGGTTCTTCTCTTCATTCTTTATTTTCTATTATTAGAATCGACGAAATGTTTTGTTTTAAAAGGCGTTTCAAGTGATCGTCGAGTCGCGTCGGTCGGTTTCTATTTTACATGCGCTTCCAATATGAGAAAAAAGCGTAGAAGTACGGTTTTACCACTCTGTTTATGTTGCAAAAAGATAGGAATATTTTAATTATTTTCCATCTTTATGATGTATAAGTGGATATGTAACTAGCTTCGAGGAATCTATTTCGTATAATTGAATCGTTAATAGCTTATGAAATAAAGATTTTATCGAAAAGTAAAATCACGAGTACGAGCAGATATTAGAACAGGTATACGATGCGATGTGCAGCCTCGAAATCGAGACAAATAATGTCTTATTTTCTCTGCTCGCTCTATTTTATGTAATTGATGGTCAAATTTCGAATGTTTGCCGATAAAGGGGAAGAAACGTTTCGTCTAAATTCAAATAAGAGTTTCGATGTTGCAATCGATATTGAATCGGTTGATGCAATTTCAACGCGAGTATACGTGTATCGCTGCTTAGAACAAATTGGAGCCCCATGAATTGTTTTTACATCATCTTTCCGAGTATACGGGGAAACCCAGAACGATGCAGACATTCTCGGTGTGCTGCGCTATATATGTGTAGATTTCTGAGGAGTTCGAAATAATTGTCGTGCATTTTAAAAGAGGGTGGTGAATCGGAAAGACGAACAACAAAATGGTCGAAGTACATAGAATAAAGTATGTACGTATACTATACATGTATATATAGCTGTATGTAAATAGGAAGGTAAAGGAAAAGATACGCAAACGATAACGAATTACGGTAAAATAGGGAGGTGGCGGAGGTTATAGATATCGAAGGAACGAAGGTGGAAGCGAATGTGGTGGTGGCAGTGGCGGAGGTGGCGGAAAACGCAGGGGGAGTTTACAAGAACGTGGGATTCCGATTGGTCAGCGACTCGGCCATGCTACAAGCGACTACAGTCTGTACGATATAGTTAAAGTGAGTCAGAACACTCGCGAGTGGCAGCGCATCTCTTTACTATAATACTATCTGGCTACGAAGCGCAACTAGAATCGCGTTCTTGGAAAAAGTGAGGGAGGGTGAATTGAGACTGTGAAAGAGAGAGCGGCTGAGGTATGTAAGAAGAGATTATGAAAGTCTGATGAAAGATAAGGTGTTTGTCTGTGTGGGTACGTAAATGAAATGGGTACAGGATTCGATATGTGTTATGCACATGTGTGAATTACATTTAATATAGAGAAGGAAAGGAAAGGGGAGGAGAACAGAAATTTATGGAGAAAAGAATACACGAATAAATAGGTAAAAAGGTGGATTCGTGGAAAAAAAAGAGTAGGGGAAAGAGGTAGACGAAAGGACGAAAGGACGAAAGAACGGAAGAATAGAGAGAAGCATCGAGATGAAGAGACGATAAAACGAGAAGGAAATCTTCGGCCATGGTTTAAAGGCCAATCGGATCAGTTGTTCGGATTGTCACGCAGGGCCCACCTGTGCGCGCGGCGGATCGCGTCGGAGAACGGTTGTCCTTCGATGTATCTCGCCGCGTGGTTCGGTTCCGACGCGCCGCGACGGTCCCGACGGTGTCGGAGCCGTAAGGGGGTGGGTGGTCGAGGAGGCGGGCGGCGGGCATTCTGCCGCGCGCGCGCCTTTCTCGAGATCGCGATACCACAGTTCCGCGGTGGTACTTGTCTCGCGTGTTTCCTTCCGCGACGTTTGTGGTATTCCTACGAAAAAGGAGGTGTGTTCAGTGAAAACGTGTAAACCTAAAAATGGGTGGCAATTTGAAAGACGAACGATAAAACGTTAAAAAAAAACCATCTTTCTAAATTGCAAATAAGCATTGTTAATATCATCGTTTGACGAGCGGCTTTAGAAGTTTACGAAATAAAGAATCGATCGACAGGAAGAAATTTTTATATCTTAAATAAATCTTTCGTCGATACAAAATCTATTTGGTGGAGGGAGAGCCGTGAGGACAGAGGGTACGACCGAAAGCCAGAACTAAGGGAGAAAAGTGCGGTGGGGTGGGTGGGAAGGAAAGGGGTAGAAGGCAGGGAGGGTGGGAGGGAGGAAGGAAAGACGAAAAGAAGTAATTTACAGGAGCGAGGGTAAAACTACGCCGACGATATTTCCGTGAAAAGAATATTCGCATAAGTGTGTGAAGAGAAGAGAGACATGTGATACACGTATTGGCCACATAAACTGAAAACGAAAGAAGAAAAATACGGATAGCGGGAAATAAATAAAATTAGTGTTGGAAATATATTGAAAGCTGCAGCACAGTGGGAAACGAGCGAACAGACGAGGTGAGAAGCGTTAAATATAAATTTTATCGCATTACTACTTGCTCTCTTTGAATGGGACAGCTCGAGTTTCATTTTCTTTGATTTCTTACCCATACATTTCCTTGTTGAAGGCAAGTTTCTTGTATTTCTGATTATGTTGCGATTGACTTTGATTGTCGATTCTCCCTCAACTTGATTCTTACGCAACACTCAAAAAGCAGGGTAAATGGTGATGATAATTTTGAAGTACTATAGCGCTTTAAACAATTCAACTGCAAGTTGCCATCGTAATTCGTCGTCTTACATCAACCTATGATGAAATTGAGAAGTAAATGCATTTTTCTGTATACGTTATTGCTAGAAAACTTTCAAAATATGTAGCTATTTATCGATATTATCTGAAAATAGCAGACTACGAGCAATCGACGTTGCTTGAATGTTTTCGAAAGGAATGAACCACAGCTGCTGTCTGATTCCACATTCCTTGATTTTCTACTTTTACTCAGTTCTTTATCCAAGCCTGTTAGTGCTGGACTAATTGTACATTGCATTACATTCGTCGTTCGAGTTATTCCTTTTCCTTGAACGCGTTTCTTCTCCTCGACAAGTCGTCGGAAGTCTGTTTAAGAGTTTTCGCCAGCGTTGTTGATAAAGATACATGCGATGTTCGTCGATGACAGATGGTTAAAGGCTGCTGTGTGTTAGGCTCGGAAAGTTGAAATGAAATCGAACATTGTAGCGTTGAATTCGACCACAATGTCGAGAAGGTTAACGAGAAGGAGAGTGAGAGAGGTAAGGTGTGTGTGTGCGTGCGTGCGTGCATGCGTGCGCGCACGTGTGTCAGAGAGTTGTACGAGGAATAAACGAAAAAGAGGATGGAAGAGGGAGGATAAAAGGGTACACGGGATCTCTATCTTTAGAGTTCATTCAGAGAATCTTTTACTCAGGGCCGACGAGCCAACAGCGAGGGCCAAACACGAGTTGACTCATGCTCGAAAGACCATCGTACAAAGAGGTAGTTGAGAGAGACAGAGCGAGAGAGGGGGGGGGGAGAAAGAGAGAAATTCTGCAGAGCATTCTTTCCAAGACAGATGTATCGTTTTTTCCGTAGAAATTAACGATTCCAATTGAGTAAAAAAATGGGGATTAGAAGATACATTTACTGAGAAAATAAGAACTTTCGTAAGGATAATTTTATTTCAAAATTTAGGTAAAGCGTCATTCAGTTGGGATAATGCTAAAAATTAATGTAAAAAGTTCTCCCGACATAGGTGAGTAACCGGAAGAAGTACTTGCATACTCTAATGCCTCCCCTTCCCCCCGCCAAGAAACGAGAGCAGGGACAAAGAAAACGAAAGAAAGAGTAAAAAATTCGTGAAGATAAACCCGGCAACGGAAGAAGATGTGAGGAATGAGTAGGAGGAGAACGAGCAGCTACCACCTGTAGCTCGTAGCGACACGCCTCTCGAGAAACTCGCTCAGCGAGCGTGCGCGCGCGTGCGTGAGTGCGTCCGTGGTGCATGCGTGCGTACGTGCATGCCCGCTGCTTGCCCTGCCAGCCTCCACGCCCGCTTTCATTATCTCGTGAGTTTGGACCCCCCCTCTCGGAAACATTTAGGTTCTTTGCATGGTTCGTCCAAGAATCCACGGACCGTCATCGATTTCTCCGATTAACACGAATAAAGGGACAAGGGAATGTGGACGAAATATGAAAACATATTTGAACGTCTCGTCGGATGGATCCATACGTACATATGTAACAGCAGCTGTAATGCAGGTCATGTATCGTGAACCTTTGGAGGTTTCCTAACGAGTTTCCCTAAACTCGAACGTAAAGATATTCCAAGAATCGGTCGTTCTAATGTGTTTCGACGAATGGAAACGCAAAAGTCGAAAGCACCCATGAACTCGTTGCATTAACGTGTCCGTTACATTGTTGAGTTGGTGTGCTCCCTCGAAACTATTTCACGAGAATGGAATGCGTTTACCACTACGGGCGTATTACAACGGTTCCTTATTAAATCGTGACCCCCCCCCTCCCCCTTTCAAACGCAACTTGGACTTCCAAGTTTAAATTTGAACTTATCCGTACTATCTGCAGAACGAAAGTCATCCAGAAGACAATCATTACGCGGAAATTATTTTATTGAGGACGTGCTTCACTAAAAGGACAGATTTCTAATCTTTGGAGTGTCATACGCCGAATTGTCTTACATCGTGTTTAAAATATTCCCTGTATAGTCTGTAAAACATTTCGGTGCTCATTATTGTTTTGTTTCTCTCCTTTGCTATACATTTTCGTTTCTGCTGAGGAAAACACGTCAGTTCGTAACTGTCAATAACGTCGATTACAAATGATTTTATAGATAGATATTAGCATTGTCGAAAGATCTTTTCAAAAAATAATGGAATGAAAAGAAGGAAAGAACGAAGAAGAGAATAGTTACGTACGATCGTATATTGACGTAA